GGATAAAATTACCTTGGTATTAGAAACCAGCGTACTTAAATTTATTTTTTCGATCTGACACGGGAGTACTTAAGATACGGATGCAGTTACATTATTGAACCAAGCAACACATTTATGTTATATGCTGCATGCTGTGGTACTGCATTACAAGCCTACTTTGTGCTGCTCATGAAATGTAGAAACCTTGATATCCCTTTTAGGGAAAATAAAGTATGAAAGCAGAGGCATCAGAGCATGGGTTGGGTATCTAGTGTGTCACATCAATGAGATTCTCACTGCAAAATTTTAATTTGCGTTATTTTTAATTTGTTGTGTCTTGACTAATGTGGACCCACTTAAATATAGATTAGCTTCTATTGTAACTTGTAAGAAGACTTACATCCTGATGGATATTCTTGTCGTCTTCTAGTAGTTGTGTTCTGACAAAAAAGTAGTACAAATAATTGCCGCCACAGAATATATCATCAATTTACCTTCAGTCTTTCACATGATGCAAAAGGATATATCTATGCTTCTTTTACCTTTTCTGCATATAAATAACTCTGTTTCCATTTGCCCTTTCTTTTCCAGAAAATATGGTTTAAGTGACGATACCGTGGATTTCATCGGTCATGCACTTGCTCTTCATAGAGATGATCGCTACCTTAATGAACCAGCAATTGATACTGTAAAAAGGATGAAAGTAAGTATTGATCAAAGCTCCTGTAGATTGTTCGTAGTCTTCTGCTACGGATATCCTGCTGTTCTCTGAATATTCATGCTTTATGAAGTTCAATTACATTTTAGTGCTTTATCTACTTGTAGCTATATGCAGAGTCCCTTGCACGTTTTCAAGGAGGCTCACCTTATATTTATCCACTCTATGGGCTGGGTGAGCTGCCACAGGTTAGTGAAATTTTAATGTTAAGTAAATACCTGTCATACTGCATGTGCATGTTTTTAAGATGGTCATATATAACGCTTTCTTATTCAAATATTTCTTATTCCACAGGGTTTTGCTCGTTTAAGTGCTGTTTATGGTGGCACTTACATGTTAAATAAGCCGGACTGCAAGGTGTGATTACCATCAACCCTGTCATTACTTGCATCTCTGGATGACCAGACAACCTAATAAAACTTTTTGGCATGCCATACATGATCTTAGGTTGAATTTGATATGGAAGGGAAAGTCTGTGGCGTTACTTCAGAAGGTGAAACTGCAAAATGCAAGAAAGTTGTTTGTGATCCTTCATACTTACCTAACAAGGTTAATTTTCTTTCCTGTATTCAATTTATTTACCACATGAATTTTCTTTCAGTATGTTCATTTAGGATTCCTAGATGATGTACTTCCATCTTAACACATTCACAGCAAATTTACTATTTTTTCTTCTTCCCTTCCATTTGTTGAGAAGTTTTATTAACTACAACCACATTTGATGTTCTGTATACATTTATTAACAGGTTAGGAAGATAGGGAAAGTTGCACGAGCAATTGCTATAATGAGCCACCCAATTGCAAGCACAAATGACTCTCACTCAGTCCAGATTATTTTGCCACAGAAACAACTTGGACGCAAGTCAGACATGTGAGGCCTTTCTCAATCACAAACAAATACTGCTCACCTTATGAATTATTACATTTGCTTGCCCATTGCTTTTAACAAAGTTTATTTATTCCCATTTTGTAACATTTTTATTGGTATTCTCCTGTTAGGTATGTCTTCTGTTGCTCATACACACACAATGTCGCTCCAAAGGGGAAGTTTATTGCATTTGTATCTACAGAAGCGGAAACTGACAATCCACAGTCCGAGCTAAAGCCTGGAATTGATCTACTTGGTCAAGTAGATGAGCTATTTTTTGATATCTATGATAGATACGAACCTGTGAATGAACCATCTCTTGATAATTGTTTTGTCTCAACTGTAAGTTTTGCAATATCTGATTTTTGAAATGAGCATTAAGTTTGATTGTCTAGACTGTAACATATTTCTGGTCCACACTCCCTGCAGAGCTATGATGCCACCACACATTTTGAGACAACGGTGACAGATGTTCTTAACATGTATACATTGATCACCGGAAAGGTAGATGTGCTTCCGCCTTTCATTTTCTTTAATCTTTAATACATGTAATGCTTCTATATTTTGTTTGAAACACCTTTTTTTGGAAAGGATGAAAATTAGCCGGGAGGCTATAGAGAGGACTAGAGTACCACATATGTTGTAATAGCTTGACTTTTGTGTCACCTTAAATTCTAAATCCAAATCCATTCTGTTGGCTATTGTTTGTTTTACAATTATGTATTCTACCCTTTTCCTAATTCTTTTCTCATTGCACTATTGCAGGCTGTTGATCTCAGTGTTGATTTGAGTGCTGCCAGTGCCGCTGAAGAATATTAGATTTCACAACCAAAGCTCAATCATTTCACAAAGATATGCTTTTTCTTGGTGGGTACCGCAGGACAGATCGTAACGAGTGACTGGTATAGTTATTCAAACTCCACGTTATACCGAGTGTTCTGGCCAATATGGCTTGTTGCTAGCAGTAATATGCACAACTGTTGGCCAAGATGACTGAAATGATGGTGGTTTAATTTGATACTTCAGTAATGCAATGGTGTAAACAGTGTACACACTACACAATGACGGTCGGGCGTTTTGTGACTGATGTATCATAACTGCTGGATAATTTTGCATGTCTACTTCTGCAGTGTTGTGTTCTTTACCTTGCATTTTCAGGTTTCAGTTGGGTGTGCCTGCCTCCGGTATCAGCCGGTAGGGTAGCATGAGTAGATTTTACCGAGTCATGCGAATGAAAATTATAATTTAACAGCTTAACCTACCCAGAATATCTTATTCCTGGTTGGATTAACCAAAACTTCAGGACAAATTTAAATGTGTTTGACGTTTCTATTTGTTCTTCCGGTTCTACCTGGGATACATTCTCACCGTTTGGTTGGTTACCGATGAAATTTGAAGGCCCATTGTCCGCTTGCAAGGACCGGGAAATTTAAACTATTTGCCACTTTTACGAATGGCAACTCTTCAAATGCTATCCTTATGGTTGTTCTTACACAATTGTCATCGGAGAGACGTTTTTAATAATTTGCTACTTTTGCTGATGTGGCATGCCACCTCATACTGCCAGCGTGGTTTTGCTGTGTAAATTTTCCGTTTTACCCCTGATGGGCCCTACAAATCGGGGAAATGGGAAAAGGAGCAAGAGAGAGAGGTTCAACTGCCGTCTCATCGTCGTCGATTCGCTCCTGTGCTCGCCGCCGTCGCAGCAGGTGGAGGGAGGAGAGCGCGGTGAGGTCGGGTGCCTGGGGATCCGTTCGTAGCCGCTCACTGCGCACCGCCGACGCGTAATAGTGGCCTAGGAAGCGGAAGAGGACGCCGTCGTTGGGGTTCAGCTTGGCCGCATCGAGGAAGTGCTCGGCCACCGCCGCACGGAGCAGCCTTTTCGTGGCATCCGTCTCATTCGGTGATGCATTGTCCGGCCGATGCGCCGGGGCTAGTCGACTCCGGCGCTGCACGGCAGTCATATATGGCGCTATATATGCAAAAAAAAAAGAAAGAAAAAAAAAGGAAGAAGTTTTTGTTTTCTCTCTGACGATGGCCGCTTTAGTCTCACAGGACATTGACGACATCGATGGATCTGATCAAATGCCTGGAGGCCATCAAAGAGCACGCATCCATGCTAAAAAACACACCTGACACCTCCATATCACTTCAACATCCAGACCAAGAACCACGACTCTGGCGAGGGCGTCTCGGGCAAGAAGATCACAGCGCCGGACCTCGCCGCTCTCTCCTCTCTCCACCTTCTGCGACGGCAGCGACAGCGAGCATAGGGGCGAGTTGATGGCGATGAGGCAGCAGTCGATCCCCTCTCTCTCCCTTTCCCGGATTTGTGGGGGCAATCAGTGGTAAAACGAAAACTTTTACACAGCAAATCCACGCTGGCGGTATGAGGTGGCATGCCACATCAGAAAAAAGGTAAATTAGAGGCTACCTATGAAAAGCGATTGCACATAAACACACGCGGCAACACTATATGTTTACTGTAAATCATAGGGCAAAATTATGCCACTATCTAACCAATGAGGACTTTACAGTGCCTGGTATCACTTATCAACGGTTGAGTTGCCAAAAAGGTAACTTAGGAATAGAAAATAGTAACACGAAAATAGGATAAAAGATAACTTAGGAATAGAAAATAGTAACACGAGAATAGGATAAAAGGTAACTTAGGAATAGAAAATAGTAACACGAGAATATGATAAAGTAACTTAGGGATAGAAAATAGTAATGGTTGAGTTACCAAAGGATAGCATAGGGATAGAAAATAATAACACAACAACCGCAATTGTATTCCAAGTTACAACAACCTTTTAACTTCTTCCTGGTTTTGTTTGCAGCCAGCCCACTCCCTCGTCCAGCCATTAGATGATCACACGAGCTAGTTCAATTATTGCTAAATACCATGAAAATCAATTGCTCGGGGTTAGATGTGTGTTTTAGTAAGTTACATCGCAGGTATAATTACATACTACTTTGCAAATTTGTTCCCAGCAAGTCATGGAATATATATGGGGCAATTGCATCCATGTCCCCACTTTGAAAGCCAATTGTTGTTTTGCCCCCATTTTTTAGGGTTTGCATTTTTACCCCCACCTTTTGAATTTGAAGCAGCCGTCTACCCCCATTTATGACAGCTATTTGGTGGGTCCCACATTATGTGTTAAAGAAATACAAAAAGAAATAAAAAAAGGTTTTAGGAATTATGTAATGACACTTCTACCCCTAAGGGAAAGTGAATGGACAGGATTCTTCTCTTCCCGTGCGTTGGGACTCCCTGAGTCGAGTCAACTCAAAACCCTAGCTAGCTAGCGCAGCAGCGGCAGCGCACGGCGGGGAGCGCGCGCGGCTGTGAGGCGGTGGCGAGGGAGCCCGCGCGGCGCGGAGGCGGCGGCCGAGGCGCGCGAGGCAGCGGCGGGGAGGCGGCGGCCGAGGCACGCGCGCGAGGGAGCTCGCGCGGTGGGGAGGCGGCGGCCGAGGCGCGTGCGCTAGGCAGCGTCGGCGGCCGTGTGAGGAGGCGGCGGCGGCCGCCGCCGCGGGTGCGCGAGGCTGCGGCCGAGGGCGTGTGCCGGCGCCCGCTCGCAGGAGGTCTACAGCCGGCGGCCAGTTCTCTTCCACGTGGAGGCGGCCTCTCACAGCCGAGGGCAAGACAAGGCAGAAAAGGGGAAGTTGTTGGCAATGGAGGAAATCATATCAATGGAGCTAATTTTGATGGAAGAGTTCAACAGATAATTTGATTCTTGTCTTGCTATCTTATGAAAATGGACATGAAAACTTAGAGCTAGCTAAATCTAGATGAAACTTAGAGTTAGATACCCAGATATACTTAGATATACTTGAACTACTAGCTAGTATGCATTTTAATCTTGGGGCTGCATTCAGTACGGTTGCTTTTTCGTCTCTCTATATAACTTTGCTATTTAGGACGATTTACCTAAATGTGCCACTTGTGTTGTGATTTGTAGGCCTACTCACAGCGATTTGCAATTAGTTGTTAGAGTTGAGTCTTTTTTAAGTTTGCCGGATGGAGGTCCAAAGCAATACCTCTAGGGTAAAACCTTGCCAACCCAAAATATTGACATGCATAAGTATGATCTGCTGCAAGTTGTTAATTTCATTGCTGAACACTACACGTGGGGATCTAAGCAATATGTGAGTTTGTGACGTTCTTTGGATGATGGTTTTGTTGAGATAAAATGATGGTTTTGTTGAGATAAAATCCGATGAACATTTGCGGGAGTGGTTTCAGCTCAATATAGATAAGGGGGTTGTGTGCATTGATGCCAAAATCAATGATTTCAATGGTCCATTGCAATTTTCACCCACAAAGCGTAGGTTTCATTCTTCAGTAAGGTCTAGAGCATGCATAAGTGAGATTGCCACAAATGAGGGAGCCAAAAAAAAAGAGAGCCACAAATGAGGAAGCTACTAATGAGGGAGCCAAAAAAAAAAAAGAGAGCCACAAATGAGAGAGCCACTAATGAGGGAGCCAAAAAAAAGAGAGCCAAGAATTCCAAAAAAAAGGGGTCAAATGATAAGGATGCAGTAGGCATTGATGATGAGGGCATATACTCTGACAATGAATTACTTGTGGTACATAGTGATAGCAGCTATGATTCTGATTTGTCCGAATCTTCCGACTCTGATTGTTCTGACCCTAAGTTTGATCCTGATCAAGAAATTATTGATGAGGGTGATGATGATGATGTACCTGTCTTTGCATATGATGTTCAGGATCCTTGTATTGATGTTGGTGTAGTGTTCCCAGATGTGGATCAATGCAAGTTAGCAGTTACCCATCATGCTATCTTGAATGATCATGCTTTTGAAACTGTCAAGAAAGACAAGAAAAGGTTTAGAGCCATTTGCAAAAGAGCAGAAGAGGGTTGCAAGTGGTGTTTTTTTTTTGCATCAACAAGCCCTAAGTACATTGGATGCAAGGTACTTTTATATGTGTATTTATGAATGGTTATTCTGTTTGGAATTTTTGTTCAAGCTGAAACATGAGCTATTAATTCTTTGCTTGTAGGTCAAGACAAGTGGACCAAAGCACACTTGTGGATCTTTCAATAAGTGTGGTGAAACAATGGTCACCACTAAGTGGGTAGCTGATCGAGTGGTGGACTTGTTGCGGGATAACTCCTCAAGGGGAGCAAAGGATTTGCAGGAGGAGTTGAATAGGAAGCATCAGATTGATATCCCATATTTCAAGGTCTTCAGAGGTAGAGAGAGCACTTGACATTATAAATGGAAAGTGGGATGACAGCTACGATCTGCTGCCTACCTATCGTGAAGAGCTATTGAGATCAGTGCTAGGCAGTGTAGTTGAGCTGGACACTAAAGAGTGCAATGGTGATGTCTGCTTTAGGAGGTTCTTTGTTGCTCTTAAACCCTGTATCGATGGGTTTTTTGGAAGGATGTAGGCCTTACATTGCTATGGACTCCACTCACTTGACTGGAAGGTCCAGAGGCCAGTTGGCTTCGGCTGTTGCAATTGATGGTCATAACAGGCTATTTCCAGTGGCATATGGGGTGATTGAGACAGAATCTAAGGAAAGCTGGACTTGGTTTGTTCAGAATGTGAAGAAAGCTATTGGTACTCCAAAAGGTATGTCTATTCTTAAAGTTGTTTCTTGCATCCTCCATCATTTCAATTCATATTTGACTAACCACCTACTATACTCGTACTGTAGGTTTGGTCATTAGTACGGATGCAGACAAAGGAATAGAAAGTGCTGTAGATGATGTTTATCCAGGAGTGGAACATAGAGAATGTATGAGGCACCTCTGGAAGAACATGGAGAAGAAGTTCCATGGCCCTCTATTTGCCCAAAATATGTGGGCGGCTGCCAAAAGCTTCACAAATGAGAAGTTCACATACCACATAGGCAAGATAGAGGAGAAGTGTCTTGAAGCACTTTCTTGGTTGGATGACAATCATCCATACATTTGGAGTAGAAGCAAGTTTTCTAACGAGTGCAAGGTAGATTACATCAATAATAATCTTTCTGAATGTTTCAATAGTTGGGTCTCAAGAACCAAGGATCGACGGATTGTGGACATGTATGATGCAATAAGATAGATGATCATAACCAAGTTTGTTGCAAGAAACAACTTTGCTGGTAAGATGGAGGGAAGAATCATTCCAGCTATTACAAAGTCTTTGAATGCTCAAAGCAAGAATATCAAGGACCATGAGGTATTGATATGTGGAGCTGGGACAGCTGAAGTAACTGTGGGCACCATTAGGCATGCCGTACATTTGGAGCAACAAACATGTTCTTGTAGGGTTTGGCAAGTGACTAGAATGCCTCGCAGTCATGCTTTAGCATTCATTGCAAAGCTTAGCACGGATGTCCATATGGATGATTTTGTGGATGATTGCTTCTCCGTTGAGAAGTTCAAGAAGGCATATGCAAGGACTTTCAATCCAATGACATCGAAGGATAGATGGGCACATGTTGATCTAGGCTACAAAATCAAGAAGCCTAGTGTAGGATCGAGATGTCGACTAGAGGGGGGGTGAATAGGAAATTTAAAACTAAATAACACCTAATCAAATCTAACCTAAGTTGCTAGGCTTGGTGAGGGAGAACTCTAACTAAGCAACTAAGTTATGTTTTGCAAACCTAGGGTGATAGTGGCTCAAATATATCTCTAGGAAAGTAAATCACGCTCTTATGTCGATGTTTTGCAATCCTAGGGTGATATGATCTCAAGTGTGTCTCTAGAAAAGTAAATCGCACAAATGTAAATGCGACAATCAAATGAGACAATGAGACAAGAGATTTTTCACCGAGGTTCGGAAACTCGCCGGTTTCCTACTCCCCGTTGAGGCGAGCCCAACTCCACCGCTCAACCACGAAGCCACCGCACGCCCCCTTCGTCAAGGGGTGGGCAAGGCGGGAGCCGGCCCACGGAGAGGACTACCCAAGCCTCGATCACTCGGGGTAGTTCTTCCTTCACTCCGAAGGTGGTGAACTCCAAACCACTCACAAACCGGCGCCGGGCCTCCTCCACAATCTTCTCGGAGAGGTCACCGGGCAACTCCTCCACAAGCCGTCTAGGAGACGGCAACCTCCAAGAGTAACAAGCAATGACCCGGTGTGGAGATGATCAAGTGCCACACTAGCTCTACAATGGAAGCAAATGCACTAGACTCTTGGCTAAACAACCCTCTAACACACTAGATAGATGAACACAAAGCTCAAGTGAGTGTGAGAGAGGTGCAAGGAGTGTATGCAATTGAATTGGGTGCCAAGAGAGCCCCCTTGCTGCTGGTGGGGGAGTATTTATACTCCCACCCACCAAAACTAGCCGTTGGGGGCGAAATTCCCCAACTCTGTGCTCTGCCGGTCTGACCGGAGGTATGCGGCCGGTCAGACCGTGCTACTCTGCAACGGCTAGAAAACTAGCCGTTGTAGCCCTGTCAGAGGGCCCCATCGGCCAGGCCGGTCAGACCGACATGGGGTGGCCGGTCAGACCGGCCTCGGCTCAGTTTGACTGCCATCGGCTCGGTCTGACCGACTTCGGCTCCGTCGGTTCTGTATCGGCCATTCCGAGCAGCATCATCTTGGCCTTCAGGAGGCCGGTTTGACCGGGAAAGTGCCGCCGGTCAGACCGCCACTATGTAGCCGGTCTGACCGGCCAGGGCACGCCGGTCAGACCGCCACTATGTGGCCGGTCTGACCGCCCCTGGTCAGGCCGAACCCAGTGAATTTGTGTAATGAAAAAGAGAGCACAAATGAAAATACAATGACCTAATGTGGCAATTAAAATCATCTCTTTGCTAGGTCATTACCCCTCTTACTAGTACGGCGAAACTAAAATTAAACTAGCAAATTTGATCGCCCTACACCTCGATCAATTCTAAATTAAAGCGCTAGTTTTACCTTCTTCTTTCCCTTTGCTTTGCGCCGTCAATTTTAATCCATCGATAATCGTCCATGCGCGCATATGACGTGGACCTAACTTAAAATGTATAGCTCAAAGACAACGGTTAGTCCACAATTAGTGCTTGTCATTAATTACCAAAATTAACACCGGGGGCCTAGATGCTTCACCTAGATCGAGAAGGAAACCTGGGAGGCCACGAGTGGCTAGGATGAAGGCAAGTGATGAGGCTGGCACTAGTAAGAGAAAGAAATGCACTGAATATAATGAGCTAGGCCACACGGCCAAGACTTGCCAAGGAGGTCCCACGGCAAGTCAAAAGAGGATGCACTCATCTTCAGAAATTGGGACAGGAGATGGGAACAACGACACAAGTGCTGCAGCCACTTCCAAGTGAGTCATGCATTGCTATTTCCTTCTATTTATCTTCAGAATTTGCTTATTTCGTTATTGCTGATTTCTTTATGTAACTATGAAGTGCAAGTGCAAGTGCAAGTGCAAGTGCAAGTGCAAGGGGGAGTGGAAGGGGAAGGGGAAGGGGAAGGGGAAGGGGAGGGGGAGGAAGAGGAGGGAGGCTAGCTTCATGGTTTGCATGATTTTGTAGCAACGACCCAAGTGCTGCAGCCATATCAAAGTGAGTAATATATTGCTATTTTCTTCTATTTATATTCATATTTTGCTTATTTTCGTTATTGCTAATTTCTTTCTTAACTATCAAGTGCAAATGGAAAGGGGGAAGGGGAAGGGGAGGAAGAGGCTTCATGGTTTGCATAATTTTGGACATCTATTTGTTGTGCACTTTTGTGCATATATGGACTGTAATATGTGGTAATGTGCCTTCTATGTTGTGGACTGTAATATGTGGTAATGTGTATTCTATGTTGTGGACATGTGATGTGTGCAATTATGTTTGTGGACACTAAGTAATGTTTGTGGTCGATGACTTATATGTATCGTGGCTTATTTCTATGGGACACTATGTAATGCTTGCTATATATGTGACTTGTGCTAATTGTGTCAAAATTCTATCGAAATGCTGTCGAAATTTTATTCAAATTTTGTAACTGCCTCATATTTGTGATTTTTAATTTTTTTTACCATGGACTGCTCATTTGTTGCTCTATGCAATGAACTGGACACAGAGTTGCTGTTGCATTTTTTTTTTGGAACAATTCACAACCCTGTTGTATTATCCATGTACAACTAAATGTGGTGTTGACCTGTAGTTTAGGGGTTCAGAGTGAATGCACGTGCTTAGGCCGTTCAAAGCCTCACATTATAACACTCACACAAGCTGAAAAAAATGGGAGGCAAAATCACACAAAGCTGAACAAAATGGGGGCAAAATTACAATAACCACCAAGGGTATATATGTCCTTTTCTCTACAACTAACACCGTTAGTTGTGGCTGTTAGGAATGGGGGTACATGGCTGCTTCAGATTCAAAAGGTGGGGGTAAAAGTGCAAACCCTAAAAAGTGGAGGTAAAACAGCAATTGGCTTCGAAAGTGAGGGCACGGATGCAATTGCCCCAATATATATACCTAAAGCAATTTGATGAGTCTTAATTATAAATGTAAATGGGAATCAAATCTCGGGATTATTTTTGATAAATTATTTGAGGCTTACTCAGTTTTGAAGGAATTTTAACGCATAGGAATAGGAAAAATGAAGAAATAGAAATACATGCACACTTTAACTCATAGGAATTTTTCAAGAAGTTTGAGGGGATGAAAAATTTCCTACGTTTACAACTTGTAGAAAAGAAATTTTTTTCCTTTGGTTTTCCTATACTTACATTCCTACAAACAGAATAATACTTATAGGAATTAATTAATCCTTCAGAATCCAAATCCGCTTCTCCCGTTCTCTGCGACTCCACCTCCCGATTACCTACCTCGCATGACAGCGGTGCGATGCGATCGATCAGAGAGGATCGTAGCAGCCGTGCCCTCCCGGGCAGCTGTCCGTTCGCTCATTTTCTGCAATGGACCAATGGCGCATCCGGCAAACACGACTCTCCCCTCCCTGTGCGTGTATGGGAGCGCAGCAGCGGCGGCACGCGGGTGCGTCGGCCGGTAGGGATGCAAGTGGGTAGTCCTGCTACCCGCTTGCTAGTTCATTTCCCACATGGTAGTACAAAATTTAGAAAAAAAAAGAATTAGAAGTGAGATAAGTGGGCTAAAATAACCCGCTTGCATCCCTATCGGCCGGCCAACAGCGCATCACGCGGGGCTACGGCCTGTTGGCAAGTTACACATAAGTATTAGCAGGGTATTTAGGTATGTTTTCAATTTTCTATTTTAACAGTAAATTGCTGTATCAGATTGTACTGTTGTATTGTAGTGAGTGAAAAGCATTGATGTTGGTTTGATCAATGAGTTAATTCCCAACAGTAGGAGATCTGACAGCTAGTAAAGAAATTTGTTTGTTTCCAACAAACAAGGAAGTATAGTGAGTGGACCATTTCAGAGTGTGGAGTGAGAAAAGGAGTAGTTCAATGAGTTCGTTGACAAGAGTAGGAGAGTGAGTTGATAGGTATACAAACTCAATACTAGCAACTTGTGTCGTATCGTTTGTTACCAAAGAGAGATTTATGTTGTGCAGTTGACTCGAGCCAATACCATACCTAGCAATAAGAAAGTCAATATACCATACCTAGCAATAAGAAAGTCAATGGCGGCCGTATTCTGAAATCGTTGGATAAGTTATTGGGCTTCCTCTTTTGTACATGGCGAAGCGGCCGTCTAATCGAATTTACTAGGAGACTTGTATCTCATGCTAATTATTCACTCTTTCAATGTTGTCTTTAAGACATTGAGCTTTCCTATGTCTGAGAAGAGATGCCATACTAATAGGCTGGCCAAGCAAAGCCTAGGTTAATTTAGGTGAAATAATTTTTACTTTGTCACTATTATTTTAGGAGATATGAATTTTAAAATTTATATTCTAGAAAGTACCATTTATTCCTTAGGTAGTCGTTTGCAATACTTTTAAGAGATAGTTTTGTCAAATTTTACTCTATAGCACTAAAGAGCATAGTTTTCTAAGATCAACCCAACTGGTCTCATAATCTTTTAGGCTTATACGAATTTCTTATGCATTGTACAAATCGTAGTGTACATCAAGTGAATGGTATGCAATACAGAATTTCAAATGTGTTTTCTGCACATAAGGTGCCAAATTTTAGTTTCTAGTAATGAAGGGGGTAATTTTCTTTGTCCATTAAAACTGCGTTCATAGTTTTTGGTACTTATGTGAATTTCCTACATATATTACAAGTTATGATCCATATTACGTTGCTACATAAAATTTTGAAATGATTTATCGTACTTCATGTTTGGCTCACCCATTTCAAGACAGGATTGAAATTCTATGAATTTTACAGCTTATGCAGTTCATTATGGTAATATCTTAATACTAAAAAAAATAGTACCATTTTCTGTGCAGAAAGTTGCATGTAAATCTACTGAAATATGGCACACGTTAGATGGATTTAATATGAATTTTCTGGAGGGAACTACAAATCGGGTGCCCAATTCCCTTAAAAAAAATATCGGGCGGTCAAATGTTTCCGTTAACTATCGAGCGAAACATTAAGTTATATAATGTGAAACAAAAAAAATCCAATTGAAACATTTGAAAAAATTTGTGGAACACAGTGAAAACACATGTTGAAAAATACTGTTATCACATATGAAACAATGAGTTTTAACACTTTGAAACAAATGTATTTCTTTCATGGGATTATAGTCATGCGATATATTTTTAATTACAATAGATACGACGGTGTGATTGGATCGTAGATCAGATAATAGTTTAGAAGAGAAGATTGCTATATGCTAATTGCATGTATGAATGGAGTAGAGAAAGCAAATAGTTTTAGTTCGTTAGTTTTATGAAACACATTGAAAACACATGCTAAAACATATCACTATAGCTTATGAAATAATGAGTTTTAACGGTTTGGAACAAATGTTTCTTTTCATCAGAACATAACCATTTGTTATCTTGTTATAAAAATTTAATTATAATGAACATAATCGTATAATCGGATTGTAATGGGATTAGTTTAAGAGAAAATATATTTTAAAGATTGTAAATGGAATGAATAAAGCAAGACGATAGCTTATTGTTAGGTTGGAGCTAGCGGCCGATAAAATTTTCTCCGTCGGTCTACTGATCCATAGCTTTCTCCTATTTTCCGCATATTTTTGAAGTTTATTCTCTTTTCAGTTGAACAAATAATGGTTTAACAATTTTCCTCGAATTTTCCAGATTTTAAATCTGCGGCAACATGTCTTCTTGCATCTAGGCCCCTGGGTTTCCAAAGAATAGATCCCACGGTCCCCACATGTGTTAAGCAAAGTTCTTGCATGATTGGCCTTGAGTAAGGCCTGAAATGGGACTTGAGTGCTTACGATTGGGCTTGCTTTCACTCCCACTTGTACATTACTAGATGTGATTAAGTTAAGCTTGAGTTTGGTCATGCCAAGTAATTCTAAATCTCGATGTTCTCTATAGAATTGCCATTAATAGTAACTTTTATTTAGCTCTAGTCATTTTCGTTTTTCTCCTGGTCAACAAGATTTTTGATCTTAACAAATAAAAATTGATAAGATTTTGGTCTTGACAGAGTGGCACCACAAAAGGAGTCCTCGCATACGTAATCTTACAAAAATGAATGAATCCAAGATTTATTACTTCTCTTCAGAACATTCATCACCGGTCTGAAAATGTGTTAGGAACTGATGAACATGCATGACTAAGGTCTGCAATTATCTTTTTTTTTTAGAGAACACAAACCAAAACTATCTCGACAATAGCTGTCAGACTCATTCTCAAACATTCAGAGTTCAGGTAGACTAAACTTGTAGGCTGATTTAACAGGAAAGTCTTTTTCTTCTCGAGGGGATGTCCCATATGCATTTCATCTTTTTTATTTTTAAAAAATATTAATATATAATATATTACTCCATAAACATATAATTTCAAATTCAATCACTACAAGTTGCTTTAAAAAATAAGACTGAACATACACGTACCAGTTATAGTTTAATTCGTCTTTTTACAACTTGTAGAGGTTGAAATTAATGTTACAAGTTTGTGAAGTGATATATTTTTCTATCTTACTATTTTTCTAAAAAAATCATATGTTATTTGAATGATATACAAGAAATGAGGGGACATTCTCTTGAGGAGAAAAGTCATCTCTGCCTGAATACTGCACCTCTTGATGTAGAGGCTAAAATAATCTCTATTATTGAAAAAAAGTAGACTGAAATTATTTTCCAGAATTTTCCAACATCACATTGATCTTATTTGTAGTCTTAAGAAAGAACATAATCTGCAGAGTACATAAATGCACATGGAGTCTATGCAGTGGACCTTGACTGGCATGGAGAGTCTTTAGGAAAATGCCAGACCACTTGAGTGACTCACTGCAGCAATACACAGGCAGTTATTTCCTCACCTGAAAGTAAGCATGTTGCCAATGCCACTATCCTCGAGATCACATTCAAGCCTAACCACTCCGCTAGAAAGACAACCTAAAAGCAAGCTAGGTAACTACTACTGTCTGCACAAATGAGAAAGATAGCTGAACCATCAGGACAGAACACACACACACAGAGACATACATGTGGTGTTTGGATCAGGGACTAAATTTTAGTCCCTATTACATCGGATGTTTGGACACTAATTAGAAGTATTAAACGTAGACTAATAATAAAACTAATTGCATAAATGAGAGATAATTCACGAAACAAATTTTTAAGTCTAATTAATCCATAATTAGTACATGTTTACTGTAGCATCACATAGGCTAATCATGGATTGATTAGGCTCAATAGATCCATCTCGCAAATTAGTCCAGAGTTATGAATGGGTTTTATCATTAGTCTACGTTTAATACTTCTAATTAGTGTTCAAACATTCGATGTGAGAGGGTCATATCTACACTACAACTTATTCCATTCTTCAATTTTGTATTTTCTCGGCTGTGTTTCAGAATATTCTCCAGTCACCATCTTGTATACATGAGGCCGGGGACTCTGTTCCAATATAGTTTTTTTTTGTCAATTCCGAACCTTATTTCTTAGCATACATGTAGTGGTCACCGAGTGAGATGGATGGATACCAGAACCGACATGCATCACTATACTACTCAAGTATGTAACTTACCATGTTTTATCTCTCATGATACATAACTGGGTAAAACACAACGTATGCTACACTAGACCTATAAGATGAATCAGGAGGGAACATTGTTCATTTGTGTTGGCGTCTTTTTCAGCCAACAAAAAGTCACCTAAAGATTTAAGGTGATCTAGATGATAGGGAATCACCAAAACTGGCTAGCGGAGCCGATTTATTGATTAAAACCGGACTCTAAGTTGATTTAGATCGATTTGAGGGTATACACCTACAAAATGAACGAATTACACCCGCAAAATGAACGAATTAAAAAGTTTACGAGATAAACATATAAAGGATGTCACACTCTCGTAAAAAAGATGAACGATCTAGGCGCAAATTAACAAAGATAAACTAGGATTAAAAAACTAGGTAAAAGGTAAAGAAAGAACGGAATTGGTGTTCACCTTTTACCAAATAATTTTTAATATTACAGAGTCATCTTGTTTCAGCCAGCAACATAAGCTGCAGAGGAGCAGGTGGGGCATGTGCAGTGTGCTGCCTAATTAAAATCACATCTTAAAGCATTGTACTACCAAGTGTCAAACACAAACATGCCGTTTATCCTAAGCGAAGCACTACTGTTCACTTTCAGGCCTCATAACTGTGCCAGTGACGACAACAGATGAATTTGAGCAGTGCTGGTTGCACCAGATCTGACCACCAGCGCCATTTGAGCCATGGAAACAACCTCATTCCTTTCAATTTGGTACACACACGCATACGCGTTCAGCGTTAGGGGCATAAGCGTAATAAGCCGATGCGCGTCATCGGGCCGAGCCTGACGCCTCTGGGAAGATAACTATTGTCAGTGACAGCTGGATCATTGCTCACTACACAAAGCTAGCCCAGATGAAAGCAGCAGCAGCAGCAGCAGCAGCAGGTAGCATATCTGCAGTGTAAAGGGGGAGACTTGACCTGAGATCAGATGAGATGAGATGAGATGATCTTTTCTCTGTGCTTAATTTATCCCCCCCTTTGGTTTGCTCTTCTGTCCTTCCCTCTCAAAGTAAGCAGCATCAGATGCAAGGGGTGACACCAAAGGCTGGCACACATTCTCTTCTCTCCCCTTTTTTTTTCCTCTCTGCTTTCTTTCTTCTAGCTTCCTTCTCCAACATTCCAAATGGTGATGCTCTGATGACCTCCTGGCTAGCTTCTACACACACTCCAAGAATCCTCTCCAGTGATGTAGTATATAAACCTCATGAGGGGCTAATCCCTTGTTTGCATCAGGGGATCCATCTGAATAATTGATACTGGCTATTAAGTCAGTGATTATTTCTGTACTGTGCTATTACTGATCGATGCAAATGCCCTTCTGCCCGAAGCTCTGGAGCTCGGCGGCGCCGGCGCCGGTGCAGCCGGGGAGCGTGGTCATCAATGGCACGGTGGTCGTCGCCAACCACTTCGGCCTCTCGGCTCCCGGCAAGTCCACCACCCTCCGCCTCTTCAGCGGCACGGAGGTCGATCACGGTGAGTAAGTGGCGTATGCAACTAATGTCTGAAACTCTGAATCCGATCAGCGCTGAAAGTCTGAAAAGAATTGCAGAGACGAGGAAGGGGAGGCTGAGCGCGGAGGCGGCGTTGAGGGGAGGGAAGAAGACGAGGCATGGGAAGGCGAGCACGACGATGTACCAGGTGACGTTCTTCGTCGACGGCGAGTTCGGGACGCCGGGCGCCGTGGCCGTCAAGAACGGGAACCGGAACGACCAGTTCTTCCTCCGGCACGTCCGGCTGGACCTCGCCGAGGACCGGAGCATCCACTTCGACTGCAACTCCTGGGTCTACCCCTATAAGAAGACCACCTCCGACCGCGTCTTCTTCATCAACACGGTAAACACAACTAATTCCCTGCAAACCGTAATACTCCATCCGTTTTATATTATAATTTATTTTGATTTTTTCTATAATCAAACTTATTTAAATTTGATTAAGTTTATAGAAAAATATAATAGTAATTTCAACATAACAAATATATTGTCAAAATATTTCAATGCTAAATTTAATAAATTAATTTGGTGTTTTAGATGCTACTAAGTTTTCTATAAGTTTTGTCAAACTTAAAAAGTTTAATTAGGAAAAAAAATAAAATAACTTATAATATGAAATGGAGCAAGTATACTACGATGACAGAGTCTAAGTTGTTTGACCGATTTTATTCCCTATAAGATATACGGCAAAACTCATGCCCTTCTGGTTTCAAAAAATACAATGAGATGTCGCGTACAGCTAAATTGATTTTTTTTTCACTGAACTGATAATGATCGAAATGTTTTTCTTTTATGATATAACGAGTTTAAGTTGAACTGACCTATCATTCTGCAGAGCTACCTGCCAGATAAGACGCCAGAGGCGCTGCGGCTGTTACGGGAGGAGGAGCTCAGAAGCCTGAGAGGGAATGGGCGCGGGGAGAGGAAGGACTGGGAGCGCATCTATGACTTCGACTACTATAACGACCTCGGCAACCCTGACAACGATGACCATGTCCGCCCCGTCCTCGGTGGCACCAAGACCCACCCCTACCCTCGCCGCTGCCGCACCGGCCGCCCCCTCAGCAAGACCGGTACTTCCACACAAAACTCATCTCCAAGTCTCCAAAATTTCTTTCTTAGCTAATAAATAGTACCCGCCGATGATAATGTTGATGAGTAGTAGAATACTATCAGTAGAGAGTACCATATCAGTAGAGAGTATCATAAAAGGTAGTCAACTAATTGAGCATATGAAAATATTTTGTGGAAGACGGGGTGACGGAGACGCGGAAGCACAAGCTGATAAACCTGGACTACTACATCCCGCCGGACGAGCGGTTCAGCCCGGGGAAGCTGGCGGAGGTGCTGGCGATGGGGGTGCAGGCGGTGACCCACTTCGTCATCCCGGAGGCCCGCTCCATCTTCCACGGCGACGTCGTCAACTTCAAGTCCACGGAGCAGCTGCGCGCCGACCTCTACGGCAAGCCGCCGCAGCCGGCGGCGGACGCCAGGGTCATGGACGAGCTCAAGTCCTCCGTGCCGTCGCACAAGACGTACAAGCAGGTTTCCAGGATTGTCAAGGACAACCCCGCCAAGTTCCCCACCCCTCAAGTCATCCACTGTACGTACTGCGTCTGTGCCAGTACGCCATGGCATTGCAGCTTCTTGATGATCTCGCGCGATTGAATTTTTTTTTTTGGGGGAATTTTGCAGATGACACTGAGGCGTGGAGGAGCGACGAGGAGTTCGCGAGGGAGATGCTGGCAGGGCTCAACCCGGTGGTGATCAAGCGGCTGGAGGTAAGAACAGCTGAAAATGTTTTGACATGTTTGATGAGCTATGTTGATGTGTGATTCGTGCTTTACAAGTGGATATATGTTTTTAATCATTTTTTCATAGTATTAAATATGGGTTCGTGTCTAACTCTTCGACTTTCACAAGGTGTTTCCTCCAAACAAGAGCAAGATAACCACGGACGATATCATGACCCAGATTGGAGGTCTGACCATTCAACAGGTATGTGCATCCACGATTCTAGATGAACCGAAGATCTACCGTTCCAAAATCATCTATAGACCGTTCTTTGTACCTTTTTTAAGATTACACCGTAGACACACGCACACACACGCAATGCCACACTCACACCTCCGCAAATGAAAGCACACCTGCATGTATGTAATATTCGTGGGCATCAGGATTTGAACCCTGGTAGAGTCATACATCCACGAGTATACCACCACACCACTAGTATGTACGTAATATTTGTGGGCATCAGGATTTGAACCCTGGTAGAGTCATACACCCACGACTCTACCACCACACCACTAATGCTTCCCCTAAAACTTAGTATCTTAACTTCTTAAGTAGTAGTTATTTTTATTAGTGTAAAATTATATTCCTCGAGATACTTTCTGTCAAGTATGTACCGTGATACCGTCAAATTTCTCTTATATTATGTTCTCTAATATGTTTGGTTTCATCTATTTTCATTTGGCAGGCGATGGAGCAGAAACGGATGTACATCCTGGACCACCACGACTACCTGATGCCATACCTCCGGCGGATAAACACGGAGGGGGTGTGCGTGTACGCGTCGCGCACGCTGCTCTTCCTCAGGGACGACGGCGCCCTCCGGCCCGTCGCCATCGAGCTCAGCTTGCCCGACGGCGGCGTCGGCGGCAGCGAGATCAGCAGGGTGTTCCTCCCGGCGAGCCAGGGCACCGATGCGCACCTTTGGCACCTCGCCAAGACTCATGTCGCCGTCAACGATTCTGGGTACCATCAGCTCATCAGCCACTGGTGAGTAGGGCACACGCCTCGATCAATCAGTTTTCAGTACTGTCGGGGTGAAATCTTTGCAACCTTATGTCTTAAAATTTCAGTTGCAAATTTGCTATGTTATATAGACTCCCTCGACTTTATACAGTTTGCAGTTGTGCCACTAACACGTGGGCCCCACTTTACAATGACCCACGTGTTAGTGGCAAAACTATAAATTGTACGAAATCAGGGGATTTATTTCCGTGGTTTATTTGGTTTTAAACCATTTTATGAGTTTTTGAGTGCTTCTGTCCAAACATCCCCTTTTGTGATCAAGTTTTGCAGTGCTCGGTCCAAGATTTCGGCCGAGTTTACTTCCAAACTTTTTTTTTTTCAAATTTTTAACTTTTTCATCATATTAAAACTTTCCTACACACACAAACTTCCAACTTTTCTTGTCACATCATTCCAATTTCAACCAAACTTCCAATTTTGGCGTGAACTAAACACACCCTTCATTGTTTCTGAAAGACTGAAACTCCGAATTCTCATCTCAAATTCTTGTTCCGAAACAAGAAATTGCTCATCTGCAATTCTTTCTGTAACAAGACATTTCTCTGAATGCTGATATGGAATTATTCTTGTTCTGAGACGAGTCATTTGTCTGAATTCTGACATGAAATTCTTCTTGTTCTGAAGCAAGGCATTTCTCTGAATTCTGATATGAAATTCTTCTTGTTCTGAAACAAGACAATTCTCTGAATGCTTGCTGACATGAAATTCTTCTTGTTCTGAAAACAAAATATTTGACTTGACCATAAAAATATGCACCGTCTTAATCCATGAATGGAACAGGCTGTTCACGCACGCGACAGTGGAGCCGTTCATCATCGCGACGAGGAGGCAGCTGAGCGCGATGCACCCGATCCACAAGCTCCTGGACCCGCACTTCAAGGACAACATGCAGATCAACACCTTGGCCAGGAGCATACTGCTCAACGCCGGTGGCCTCCTGGAGAAGACCATGTACCCGGGGAAGTACTCCATGGAGATGTCCTCCGATATCTATGCCCATTGGAGGTTCACCGAGCAGTCCCTGCCTAATGATCTCATCAAGAGGTACAAAATACAATCAATTCATCATCCCAATTCCTACATTGCCAATGAATAGAACCACAAATTCTTAATTTACTGCATGTCTGAATTTTTAGTTACTTCTCGGTGAGATCAACGGCTTTCGATCCGCCTAGCCACTTCAATTTTACAATTGCGGCGTACACATTAATGTCCCGTAGCAACACACTTGGTATCATTTGGTGCATTTTATGATAGCCAAATATTTGACAACAAGATTCAAATAAAATTTTAAAAATTCCATGAATCAACTGTATATTAATAAAAAATCTTACATAAATTCTGGGAATGTTAAAAGTTCGAATATATTGTTGTTTTAAACGTAAAATAATTTTGACTAGAGAGAGTAGAATTGATTTGAGAATTTATTGTTAACTAAAACATTTCCAACCAGGGGGATGGCGTCCAGGGACCCCAAGGCGCGCGGCGGCGTGTCCCTCCACATCGAGGACTACCCGTACGCCGTCGACGGCATCGACGTGTGGCTCGCCATCGAGGGCTGGGTGCGCAGCTACTGCGACCACTTCTACCACGCCGACGCGGCGGTGGCCGGCGACGCCGAGCTGCAGGCGTGGTGGGACGACGTCCGCCGCGTGGGCCACGGCGACCGGCAGGGCGACGCCGCGTGCTGGCTGGACCTCGACACCGTCGCGGGCCTCGTCGAGACGCTGTCGACGCTCATCTGGACCGCGTCGGCGCTGCACGCCGCCGTCAACTTCGGCCAGTACGGCTACGCCGGGTACCCGCCGAACCGGCCGACGCGGTGCCGGCGGTTCGTGCCGCTCCCGGGGTCGCCGGAGATGGCGCAGCTGGAGGCCGACCCGGGCCGGTTCTTCCTGGAGACGGTGCCCGACCGGTTCACGGCGACGCTGGGGATCGCGCTGATCGAGGTGCTGTCCAACCACACCTCCGACGAGGTGTACCTCGGGCAGCGCGCGACGTCGACGTGGACGGACGACGGCGAGGTGCTGCTGCTGCTGGACAGGTTCCGCGACGAGCTCCGGCGGGTGGAGAAGAGGGTGGAGGAGAGGAACAAGGACCCCAGGCTCGTCAACCGGAGGGGCCCCGTGAGGGTGCCGTACACGCTGCTCTACCCGGACGCCGGCGACGTCGCCGGCAAGGAGAAGGGGATCACCGGGAGAGGGATACCCAACAGCGTCTCCATCTGACACGATTCATCATCCTTCTTCTCTTATACTTCATCTATCCGACTCGACTCGACGCGTGTGGAATGTAAAGTTCTCTGCTTTTCTTTTTCTTTCTTTTCGTTTGAGAGTTTTGGTGTTGGGGATGTGAAATTGAGATTGATTGGTTGGTTTGGATTGGAGAATTGATGAGCAAACTGTGATGCAGAATTCAATACATGTAATTATTGTTCTAATCCAAAAGCCCGGTAAAGAAAACACGGTCGATGGATATAGGCCGATCTCTCTTCAGAACTGCTCAGTAAAGATTCTTTCCAAAGTGCTTGCAACACGGCTGCAAAGGGTACTCCCGATGATGATACATTTAGACCAAACGGGTTTCCTCAAAGGGAGATGCATCTATGAGAATCTTATATATGCGACGGAATTGATTCAAGCATGCTACAGAAGGAAGTGCCAAACTATTATTGTAAAGCTTGATTTCGCGAAGGCGTTTGATTCCGTCATTTGGTCAAGCCTTTTCAAGATTCTTGCTGTCAGATGTTTCCCAGAAAACTGGATTAGCTGGATTAAGGGGTTGCTTTCCTCCTCCAAGTCTGCAGTGCTTCTTAATGGAGTCCCTGGAAGATGGATTCGCTGCAAGAAGGGCCTTCGACAAGGCGACCCCCTATCTCCATATTTGTTTGTCTTAGTTGCTGATGTGCTACAAAGATTGCTTGAAAGAAATACTGAAATCAGACATGCAATCTACCAAGACAGGCTGTGTACCACCATCCAGTATGCGGATGATACATTGATTATCTGTTGTGCGGAGGAGGCTGATGTTCTTGCTCTAAAGGAGACTCTGCTGCAGTTCTCCAAGGCAACTGGACTGCAAATCAATTTTGCTAAAAGCACTATGATTACTCTAAATGTCGATCAAAGCAAGGAACTAGTTTTGTCGGATTGCTACAGTGCAAGCTGGAGAAATTTCCGATGTCTTATCTTGGACTTCCCTTATCAATTCACAAACTGTCCGCAGCTGACTTGTAGCCTCTGGTTAACAAGGTTGATGGTTTCTTATCTGGTTGGTAAGCATCTCTCCTATTGCAGGCGGAGCGTCTTGTTCTGATAAACGCAGTCCTGAGCAGCCTACCGGTGTATGCAATGTGTGCCTTCAAACTTCCACCAAAAATTATAGAAGAAATTGATAGACGAAGAAGGGCTTTTCTCTGGACAGGGGATGATGTCTGCTCGGGAGCAAAATGTCTGGTTTCTTGGGAATCAGTTTGCAAGCCAAAAGAACATGGGGGACTTGGTATTAAGAACTTAAAGATTCAGAACGAGGCACTTCTTCTCAAACGACTCCTTGCTCTTTACAACTTGAAGACCTCCTGGACTCGATGGGTCTGGGACGAAATTTCAGATTCCTCGTTACTGTGCTCAACTCGTCTAGGGCATCACTGGGCATCCTTTCAAAAGTTGTTGCCAGAACTGCGATCTTTGACGGAAGTCGTGGTAGGAAATGGTGAGCGAACCTCCTTTTGGTACGACAAATGGTTTTCGACTGAAAGCTTTTCAAGTCAGTTCAGCAATCTCTTCTCCCATGTGTGTGACAGACAAATCTAAGTAAAGGAAGCTCTTCACATAGGAATTTCTGAAAATCTTGTTCCACGTTTATCTGAAACTGCATCGGCAGAGCTGTGCTGCTTACAGGAATTGCTGCAGAACTTCTCTCCGAGCGAGGAGATGGATTTCCGCCTCAGTGCAAAGCTAGGAAAGTTGACAACTAAGAAATTCTATGAGGCAAGATTACCCCCAGGCATGCCATCTCCGAACTGGGATCTTATTTGGAAGTGCAGAGCACCTCTAAAAGTTAAACTCTTCGCATGGCTACTGGTCCGTAATCGCCTGTCCACAAAAGAAAATTTGCTGAAGAAAACCATTGTTCAGGAGGCAATCTGTGACATCTGCAATCAGGAAGATGAAACAGCTAATCATATGTGTTTCTCATGTCCGTTCGCTCAGGCTTTCTGGACGCAGATCAACGTTCGACCGCAAGCTCAAGACGTCACGCAGTTCCATCGTTCGGGTCCAACTTCGCAAGTGCCGGCGCTACACTGGCAGGTCTTCTTCCAGCTTTGCATGTGGGCTATTTGGAATCATCGACACGATGTTGTTTTCCGGGGGAAAAGCCCCTCACTAAGAGCCTGCCTACAACGATGCATCACCGAGGCAGCTCTCTGGGCAGAGAACTTAACGGAAGATGATCGATTTGTAATCTCTGTTTGGAAACAAATCTTCTCCTCCCCCTTACAATCTATCAATCTTTTGTAATGAACTTCTTACTTCTAATTGCAATGACAAATTCAGGTGGGGAATCCCCCCCCACCCCCCCCCTGATTTAGTAAAAAAAAAATACATGTAATTGATTCGTAATGTCGGTATCTGTACCAATTGAGTCTCATTGTATCATTTGATGGTTTAAACCAAAATTCGAATCACACATTTTGTCAGAATGGACACGTGTCAACTATCCGAATGGTTGGGTCTAGGAACCTCATCTGCGTTTGTATGCATGCGCAATGAACCTCCATTAGCACACGTCTCAAACCATTTGAATGGTTTGGGCCCAGGAACCTCATGCGTGTTTGTCTGCGTGCGGATGAGATCGGGATGAATGCTTATGAGAGAAAAATCCAACAACATTGAGAATCTAAATGATAAAAAATGGAATGAAAAGGAAACACATATGGATATGGACCTATGAATTGCTCACCTCTCCTTCATAGTTTGTGATGTCAAGTTGCAAAATATGTCCATGCTCCGATTCATAATTTGTACATGATTATTCTATCAACACTCCACAAGACGAAAGCCTATTCTGCGTAGTTCAACCTTCTTGTTTTTAAGCAATGCATAGTCATGCTAGATTGCAAGGGATATATATGTGAAGGGTATTTTGGTAATCTCTTCTAGTGTTGTAATCAAGTATGTGCCCCATTGGGCTAATTTCATTTGCAACAATTCATTCATATAATGTAATTGATTTGTAATATTGGTATATATTTCAATTGAATTTCTATGTATCCTTAAAATGAATAATACGATTTGTCAAAAAAGACATGTGTCGACCATCTAAAGGATTTGGGCCAGGGAACCTCACATGCGCTTGTATGCGTGCGCAAACCACCTTTGCCAACATGGTTTGTTGATGGGTCAGTAGTCAAGTATGGGCTGATAACGGGCCTTTTGGCATGTTTTGTGTTTTTACTTCTTTTGGGTTTGGTTTGTCTCTTTGTATTTCGAATTCAACAACTTTCTGTGCACAAAAACCCACAAACTTCTGTCTGTTTGCTTGGCTCTAGCCCATTTTGAAGAGTTTAAGCCCTCCAAATATGTCTAGGTTGTGTACCAAAACAAGTCCATGGACATTGTGACGAGGACATCCTCCACTATTAACTGCTAGTAAAGACGCAACAAAGGGCCAAGTGGTCCAGTTGTACTCGGGCGGCGACCGTGTGAGTCTCTGAATAATCCCACCTTGCTTAGCTTGGGAGGAGAAAGCCACCTTAAAAGGAAGAGTCACCCTTCCCCTATTGGACTAGTCTTTCAGGAAGAGATTAGGCCTTTCCCCGAGTGGGTGTTCAACTGTTGGGGTTCGGGCAACCTTAATTTTATTGGGCCTCGGCCAACCCTACCTAGGCCGGAGCGATCATTTGGTATCAGACTTAAAAGGCAACCTTAATTTTATTGGGCCTCGGCCAACCCTACCTGGGCCGGAGCGATCATTTGGTATCAGACTTAAAAGGGAGAGCCACCCTTTCTCTATTAGACTAGTCTTTCAGGGAGATTGGTTCTTTGGTTTGTCACAGCTAATATGTTATGCTTTAGCACAATAAAAAATCCTAAACTTTATCAGAAAGGAAAAGGAGATTGGGTAGATGTGTGATGTGTCTAAGAAGAGAGGGGTAGAAAGCCAACAACAAGAGCATCTAAATGGACAAGTAAAAAGGAGGACTAGAGGTGGTTCAATTATCGATTACTTAAAATATCCGTAGTGGTGATGGTGAAGCTAACATAGACACGTGATCTATTAACCGTGGATCAAAAAATCGGACGCTGCAGAGCGACGCACTCCTCCTCCGCACCACCATCGCGCGACTCCTCCGTACATGACCCCACTTTTCCGTTCCTACTGCAGCTCGTTTTTCCTATTTTATAGTTTCCAACCGACGTGGTTTATAATTTTGATCATACAACAGTGAAATTTGGTAAGCCCCGAGGAAACTGTCGGCCTAAAATAAATATCGGCTTCAGAGTTTTGGAATTGGCCGATGGGAGTTCTCAAGTCGCCAGGAGTCGGATTCTTGGAGGATTCGGTTAAGGAAGTCTATCCAGAAGAGACCGACTTCAAGAAGGATGCGGCATGGCGGTTTATGTATTAATTATGAAGAGTTTGTTAGTTTCCTTTTATCTTTAGGAAAGTGTGTTTAGTGTCCAATAAGGACTTCATGTTTTCCTTTTATCTTTATGAAAGTTTTTTTCTTGTCCAATAAGGGCTAGTATCTACTCATGGGTATAAATATATACACCCGGAGTAATTGTAAATGATCTCACAGATTAATACAACTACTCTCGGTGCATCGCCATCCTCTTTACCGAGATTTTACTTGACGCGGGGTTGCATCGGCTTTCGATCTTCGGCGAAGGGGTAAGTCCTACGTTCCGCCGGCCTTGGCAATTGTATCGGCTACATTGGTGTTGTTCAAGGCTGCATCGCTTTGGTCTCTTGGATCGCTCTGGTTCGGTTGATATTTTGGCCTACCTATTTATCATATATCTTAGTTAATCTAGTTTGGTAGCTTGATTTACTTGTATCGGCTGAGATTCACTTTAGGGTTTATGCCGGTATTGGCTAAATCGCTTTGCTAGATTAGATTAGCTAAGGTATCTACCACCCTGAAAATCAGTCAAGGGCTTGCTGGCTTGATTATCTAGATATTGTGTTTGTTTTCATACTTAGTGTTGTATCAGTACATTCGACCTACTATGTCGTGTTTAGAACCATAATCTCTAGCCTGCTTTTTTATTGCCAATAAGGATTTCATCGGGGTTTCAGCTGATGAGATATCTGGACGTTGCATCGATTTATAAGGAGTACATACAAGTTGGATTTAGCCGATCGCAACAAAGGTTATACTGTTTATCTAATCTTGCGGATTTAATGACATCGGACCTCCAGCCGATATATGCTTTAACCTTTGGATCAGTGCTTATTCTATCATATTGTTAGCCGATTGGTTTCTACTAGATTTTATTGTTGTTTCGTTACATTATCATTAGTTGATTGTCTTTATTTACATCAAGTGTCAGATTCTACATCAACCATATAGCCAATAGCTCAAAACTCTATCGCTATCGGCTAGTATCGACATCGACTGGAATTACTCTATTGGCTTGTCAGCCGATCGACTCATTGATCTACTATTTGCATATTTTGTGAGTTGTAGAATCAAACTAACTGGCACGCCCGCATCTCATCAATCTTTGGACCTGCACTGGAGCTAAGCAGATCTCCCAGGCTGTTGTGTTCGTCGACTTAATTCGCGCCAACACATACCCGACACCATCGGCCATGCGCAGATTTTTCGTCAACACTATGACATCAAATTTATTCATTTTCCGGAGATTCACATAAAAAAATAATCAAAGGAAAAGAAGGAGCGTGAAACATCCTCGCCTCCTGCCTACCCAGGCCACGTGATAAGGCCCATCAAGATTAGGTCCAATATAAGATTAGCCGATCAAGAATCACTTTCCATCCATTGCAGAACTCGTCGAATACCAAGGCTCATAAACAACGCCGACGCTGACGCCAAATTCACCGAAACCAATCTACGTGGCCACCAAACGATGTATGCATTGCCCTCAATTCCGCTTTCACTGTCACTGCCGCGGACTCCACCGCCACTGTTGCCGTCACTGACTCCGCCGTCCCCGCCATTGCCGTCGCCGCTACCACCGCCCCAACTGTCATCTTCGGCGCGGCCGCCGCCTTCATAGATAGAAGCAACACTGTCATCACAGAGATCAATCCTTTGGTAATGAAGTTAAGCACCTAGCTCAATGAGTCCATGACATCTAAGGCTCTATGCTATCTTGCAATTTGTACTACTTATTGCAGGCAGTACATTAGCTAGCTAAGGTTAATGCATGGTACTGTAGATTAATGTTTGGTACTGTAGATTAATACATGGTATTGTAGATTAAACTAGCTATTTGATCAATCTTCTTTTCAAAGCATGCATGCGATGCAAGAGGCTCTTGTGTGTGTCTTTGTCAACTGCTTGGACTTGCAATCTTTTGCTCATGATTGACCCAACATAAGTATCTATTGGTTTTTGAAAACAAAGGTTTGCCTTAAACAGAAGTAGTAACACCGAACTGATTTACGTGCTTCATAGTTCTGAAACACCATAGCTGGATTTTGCGTAATAATTCTATAACAGTTAGCAGATTTGAGACACAATTTATTGTAATAAATTCCTGAATTTCCCCAAATTTAATCACTAAGTGCATTAACTATATCTTTTCAGTGTTATATAATTTCCCTGTACAATATAGATCCTTGCTTAATTTTATGTGGTACTCAGGTCAATCAAGACGCCATTCATGCTGATATGATTACAACCCAACCCTCGAAGAAAGCAAAAGATTCGGAATGTAAGGATAATGCATCTATTTTTGTCTCAATCTATTTAATAATGCCAAATACTTATATATATATATATATATATATATATATATATATATATATATATATATATATATATATATATATATTATTTGAATCACTAACATTTTTGGTGTTTGAAATACTAATGTGAGCTAATGTGTAACTGATTGGCAATTTAACTTTGCTTAACAAACAAAATAACGTGACAGAAAAATAAAAATTACATTCTTTATTTTCTATCTCTGGTATCCGTTTGTGATCGACAAGCTAGGCCATGCGTGTGTGAATGAGGGTATATGCAGATACACTATATCGATATAATAACAAGCACAGTAAGATGCTATACTGATTAATTTATGTGTGCATGCTCAAAGTTTGATGTGTATGTGCATGGTATTTAGGAAATATAATTGGGTTCTGTTTTGTCAAATGCGCAGCACCACTTCAGACAATGACGCATTCGTCCACAACGCTCGCTATGCCAAGTGGTGAACAGAGTCGGAGCAACTGTCAACCAAACTCAGGAGTGGATGCAAACATAATATTCTTATCATCCGGCTCATATTGATAGTCAAATATTAATTAATTGTCTGATTATATATGTAGGAGAAATACAACTAGATAAACCATTACATGGAAGTGCCCGTCAAACTACGAATGTTTTGTAAGAACTTATTAACTCTACTTTTAGACAATATTCTATTTAATATTCTTTTAATATAATAATAACATCTAGCAGCTAACAAATATGTAATAAGGATACAATACACATATATCGGATGCATTAATTAGTGCAAAAGTGTCAGCCATACAATAATATTTACAATATTGTCATTTCCATTTATATTGTTAATTACATAATTGTCTTCATTTGTTTTTCTTTTGATGGAATTACATTTGGAGAGCTTGGTATGTAAGCAATAGTCGGTGCATCATCATCAGATGAAATATCTTCTGCCATGATTGGTAGTCCAGCCTCTGAGAGCATGTTTTATAACATACCCTCCAAGTTGAGATCCCTCAAATTCCCATGGAATGTCTTAATACAATTGTTCCTATGTTCTTGCATCCAATGGTGACAAAACTATTTTTTGAGAGAAAACGGTAACAACATATGGACCCTTTCCCCCCTCCCCCAATTCTCACTCAATCCCTGCATTAAGAAAAAAAATGGTAAGAACAGTTTATACCTAGACTATACAAAATAAATGGGAAGATCTTGGTACTACAATGTGTCCGTGCTATTTTACTAAACTAGAAGGTACCCCGCGGCGTTGCTACGGAACATTGTAGAAAAAAATTAGAAGAATAGTTTGTATTGGAAGTAAAAGGATTCTAAAGTAAGACAATATGTGAATATTAATTTGATTGTATGATAGGGTACACAAAAGTTTTGTTAGACTGAAAGGGAACTGGCATATATCAAAATTATGATTATTTGAAAGCACCTAGAGTATTTAGTTTGGACATAGTCTTGACAACGGAAACAGGATAGACCATGATTACGAAAATAGTAAACAACGGATGTGATTATTCGGAAGCATCTGCAGTCTTTAAGCTGTATATTATGTATTGACCTGCAAATTTCGCTGGACAATGTATTAGAATAAATCATAATCGGATTTGCTTGTATGATGAAGCAAGGCTTCCAAACATGGGTGATTATTAATGACTAATTTGATTTGAACTATTAGATGGATGATGGATTGATCTAAGGTGACCAAACATGGTCTACAATTTTTGCTTTTATCTCTTAAAACATCCGTTACAACACACGTGCCTTTATCTAGTTCTTGTTAATTTCAATCGATATGTATTTGTTTTTTCCATGTAAAATGTAGTGAATTGGTTTTTTTAGATAAAAAATGAGATTTTGAGGGAGAGACGTCCATCCAAAAAATTTTTAAGAAGAAATTATAAGCGTGTTGGGGATTGAACACGGGACCTCGAGTTGAAACCATACATCCCTTGCCACTGCACTATCAAGTGCATCTCTAGTAAATTGGTTTTGAGATAAAAAAATTGTAGTATAATTGTTTTTTTTTGTTTTGGAAACCAATATCACTACTGATTCACCCCTTGAATCGGCATATGATACTGACCAACATTGCCAGTTGAACAACACACAATATTAATGCCTAATTTGATTTGAGCTATTAGATGGATGATGGATTGATCTAGGGTGACCAAAATCAGGAAATGTGTATTCCACAGTCGTGCTTCGCTTAAAATTTAATCAGATAGTCATGCATTGATGACAACGTGGAAAGCTATTATGAAAGAGAATATTTAATGCTACATGGTGGGAGGCAATTGTATAGTAATGCAGGATTACAATACAAGGTAAGATAATTTAAGCCTCATTTAGATGGGCTTTATTCTCAGCACTTCGGCCCATAAAAACAATGATTTAGTGAAAAACAATATGCACCATAACACATGTAAAGTAGGAAAAGGGCTCAACATATGACATACCACGTTTGGATTGCAGCAAACAACTTTATTAGTTATGTTGTTACACAAAACAACACAAACAATCCCCTCCTCTGCTTACTTACAACTGACTATCAATTTCTCAAGCCTTCCAGAAGGCTCTTTCTAGCATGCGGCAAAATCCATCGCTTAGCATGTACCTGTACATTGATAAGCATTGAGCTAGAAGAATCATCCAAGGATGGCGTGGAGGCTTAGACCACCAAGTATGGAATGATGCATAAAATTAGTGGATCGCTTGTACATCAATTCACAAGTGTATGGACATGCAGTGGTGCAAAAGGAAAGAAGCAAGAAAGGCTAACAGAACCCCGCAACAAACCCACAAGAGAACAATTAGAGACACCTAACCTCGATGCTTTTTCATGAATCATCGTGTCTCCAGTTGGCATCCACAATATCCTTTACTACTTTGTACTCCTATATAAACTACTTTGCTTGGTTCCCATTCTCTCATCGACCACACCATAAATTGGTCACCTGCTTCAACATCTTGATATAAGAAAGGTTGTTTATTATATCATTATTATGTACTTCTACTAATTCTTGAGTGTTAGTGTAAATTGTGTTAGTGGCTATACTTCCAACGAGAAGCAATGTAGTTTCTATTCAATTTACATATTTTTACTGGGAAGATGAAATAAGTTGTTGTTTCAAGCAAGTACTTAACTGAGTTATTGTTCATGCATTACTTAAAAATGTAGGAGTAAAGAAATGGCGATTCCAACAAAGGAGGAGGTGGAGCAGAATGAGGAGGACAATACATTTTCAAGGTTGCAATTGCTTGCACAACAACGGCATGCCATGGAGGAATTCTGGAGGAGGAGCCAGGAACAAATCGAGGCATCTGCAGGCAACCATGAGCATATACTACCAATTGACTGCGTGAAGAATGTCATTCGACCAAAGAATGATGCTATGATGCTATCTGCTGACACACCAACTTTTGTGACAAAACTTTGTGAGCTCTTCGTGCAGGAGCTCACCCTCCGTGCATGGGTATGTGCCAACTCTCACAACCGTGACATCATATTAGGCACAGACATTGCTGAGGCAATCACCACCACTGAATCCTATCACTTTCTTGGTAATGTACTTCGTAGCCACAAGGCACTAGGAAGTACTGCTCCTGACATAGATACTTCTGCTAGGAAGCATATTAAGCTAGACCAAATGACCTCACTCTACCATCCTACCCAAGAAATGCAGGCCTCACGTTTAGCTGGGTATCCACCCCATGTTCCTATATATCCTCCTATAGGTCAAATGGGAACTCAACACAAGCTGTCTCCATTCACTTTTATGATGCAAGGAGAATCTCTTCTCAACATGAAAAGAGAAAAATCCCTAGTTAATGAAGTGATGGTATGCACCAACAAGATGAGCATAAACAACTTTGATGGAGCTACTAGTATTGGTGGTGGTAGTAGTAGTGATGTTGCTATTGTTGTCCAGCAAGGGGAAACTACACACCCATTCTCATCCCAGAATGCATGTCCTTCCCTAGAAGATAACTATGTTGTTCCCATGCCTACGGGACATGTTCAGAGTTTTAGCCCTCCTACTAATATCAATGTCAAGAAGCTACATCAAGAGGAGAAAAACATCTATTCACAAGATGTTGCTGAAGAGGACATGTCCAATGAGTCTTTGGAGGGAAGCCAGAAGGATGAGGACCTATTTCTTCATGAGAAATAATTTCCTCCATTTATTTAGAATATGGAAGAGGAATACAACAATGGCAACGATATTCATGATGGTAATTTCTCCAAATCAAGCAACAGTATCAAGAATTACTAAATAAACAACAAATCAAAGGAGGATGCATCTTAGCTATGTTTATCCAATGATGTTGTATAGTTTACCTTATACTTTACTCAAGATTAATAAAAAATAATTTGTGTGTGATTCCAGTGGTTTACCTTGTGTTTCCATCTACCTTTGTATGGACAATAATAAAAAGATTATTGTTTGTTTGATAATTCAATAATAAAACATTCATAAGTTGTATCATTTATTTAGCAATACTTCACAAGCTAAAAAAATAATTTGCGATTGACCATTTCTTAATGGCATTGAAAGCTTTAGGAATTTCAAAGTTAACATGGTAGTAAGGGAGCCTATTAACTATAAGATGTTGTTCCTAGAACATCATTACACCGACTTTGTAGGCCCTACCCAAGCTACCTCAACAGGCAAAACTATTATGTTCGGTCCATGGTGGAGCAGTTGTGGAGGAACCCTGGTCGAAGCCTGGAGTACTTCGACCACGACTATTGCTTGCGCTAGGAAGACATAGTTGTATTCCGGTGCAACTTCAAAATGTTTGATCACTAAGTGGTGATAGCTGAGCGCTAATAATTAGCATTCATTTTGCCATCCTTTTTGCTTCTTTGACATTAGTGACATGAAGATAGCTCAATGGACGTGACTTCTATACTAGCTTTAGTACTCCTAGTCACTCTAGGAGCTGTATTATAATTTCAGATTCTAGTTCATCTAGAGACATGGACTCTAGTTTCACCGGGCTAGCTGCCCTTCTAATGACAATGTAATATACTTGTGATCATTCTTCAGTACATGATGTCTGGTTCTTTATGGCATTTGTTTAATGCTGGTATTTCTTATAGTCAAAGAAAAATCCGCAAGCACACGGATACCACTATAGCATTTCACCCAGGAGTATTCCAAGGTTATTGCATTTATATTTTCACAGAGACGACGATAGTGTAAAGATAGAGTTCATACATTTTTATTCAAGCTATAATTATTTTACCATAGTCTAAATATGGGCTAATTGATAAATGATAATGGAGTAGTGTGACACACAGGAGATTCGTCTCTAATAGATATATACTAGGCAAGAAGAACTATAGAAAGCTTAGGTTCATATATACTTCTATATTACTAATGTTTAGTTTACACTTAACACATACATGCTTACAGAGACCACTCCCTGTTGGTTTGCCAGCGTGGCTATGGTATTTTAATTACGAACTCTTACTTCATACCCGGATGTGAAGGAATTCAAAGGACCGACATGGCTGTCACCACCTGCCACCTACCTCACTTTCCATGGGGCTTACCCGCATCCAATGGCATTTAATTAAGCTAAGCACCATACTTATGTCAATAAATAATGTCACCAATTCCCCTGGGATTCCCACCCTTCGGATTGACAAGTTAGAACTAGTGCAATCCGTTAAGATCATTGGTCCATTACCGTAGAATAAATTGACTAGCTTAATCAAGTGAAGCATATAAATGAAGTACAATCTACTCATTGAACACACAACTAGTAAACTAGTGTATGAACTATGAACACTAATAAGTAAAGATAACTCCTTTATTGCAACTATAGTGTTACAAGAAGAGTATAGTACTAAAGACATATCAAAATCTCTGAGAAGACTATAGGACCTAAAATTGTTCTAAGCCTAACTCCACTACTACTAGAGAGAAAACAATTTATGGAATGAAAGAATTGCTCCTTGAAGTGTGTGTGTTGTGAAGTGAGAAGCTCTTCTCCTTTTATAACCTCCCAATGAAGGTTGTATGGTGGTTACTGAGGTCGGTGCACTTCTAACCATCATTAGGGAGGGTTGAGATGTTGCCACTTGGAAGGTGGAGATGACGGGTGACCATAGTGGTTCAGTCGATCCAAGTGTTCGGACAATCCCTGGGCCCCACCTCTCCACCGCCTTTAACCAAAGGGTGCTAGGTGGGCCCCTATGGCAATTGAGGATGGTGTGGCCCCACTTTAGGTTAGTTTAGACTGACTTGTGGGCCTATCGTTCCGTTTACTCGCACGTGATTCGCCGGAGGTGTGTTTCTTTGCATGCCAGCTCATTTCTTTTTCACTTTATTGTGTAATCTCTGCATGTACACTGATTCATCAAGACAAGTGGAATTACATTATTTAATACTAGCATATGATAGTTGACGGCCAAAATCGGTACTTCACGACCATCAACACTTAACTACGTTGCCCATGTAAGCTCCCAATAGCCCTTTGACATTTTGCTATGTTTTATGTTCTTTGATGTGTTTGGAGGCTTCTTCGTTTCTTGAACATTCGCCTTTCTCCTATCACTAAAGCTTAGTCTTAGTCATTGCCAGGTGCTTTGTTTGATTTGGTATTACTTTGGCATTATTTTCGTTTAGTGTGATTTGCTAAAAGGGCTATTGTTTTCACCCTATGTTTCGTGTGCACTTCGACGATTTTTGCAATCTCAGCATTGATCAAGCATTGCTTCAATCGGTACACTTTGCCCCATGGCCGCTTTGGTCACACATACCGCTAAACCTTGGACGCGCATCAAACACAGACTGCCCATCGCAAACCAAAGAAAATTAATCCATACCCACCTAAAATAGAAACAAATGGGTAATATTTGTAGATATATATTTGCTCTTTTGAAATAATTATTCTCTCCAATATCGTAGTTATCTAACTCACCGAATGATCAAGCCAATCGGAGTTGTGAGCGTATCAGTTTGTCGCTGAAATTGCTCTTTTGCTCTGGATTTGTCAAGCCCTAACAAAAAAAAACTAACCCTTATGTCTTTTTTGTGTGATGGAACTCTCAAGCCGTAAGAAGCATGTTGGTTATCTAGCTTACACCACGCTTAATTAGTTAAAGTTTGAACTAACTGAGATCCATAGGGAAAAATAATCAGAACTATTATTAGTGCTTGAAAATTTGTTGTGTGTTTAATTTTTTAGAAGCATTATGTGCTTTTTTACTTTCGGTTTACAATGCATAGGTAAAATAACATAAAGAAATAACTACCATATGTGGTTCTATGCCATTTATATAACAAGCCACCTAAATGGCATATAACAAGCCACCTAAATGAGACTGAATATAGGTTTTCTTCTCTACATGTTCATGCTAGACTAATGGATTTGGTATGCAAGGAACAAGGTAAACCTCTATATGTCCTCAGGGACATTACACTATTGTTTTCTTTTTTTGCAGGCTTTTCATGGAGCTCTTGATATTAGATTTTGCATGGCAATTTATCCTATGTTTTGATTGCTAGAATCTTAGTTTGAGTTGAACCGCTAAAATAACATGTTTGGAATGTTTTATATGAGTAAGATTTTCAAATTTTGATACCTTTGATTTGGTTCTCTTTTCCTCAGAGACCTCTAGGAGTTCTTATATTGGCATGCTTTTATCTGATTGCATACAATATTTTCTCTAACAAAATGTTGTAAAGACTGTTTTTCTCTTGGAGGTTGGAGCTGCTATATTACATATTTTATAGTGCCACATTCCATCCAAGGTTTTCAAATTTGTTAGGCACACTAATATGCTATCAGCAATTATAGCATATAAGGACCAATTTTTGCGAAGCACGTGATCTGTTAGCTACATGAAACAAAGTATGGTAATTTTCATATCCTTAATTTTCTGTTAGTGTTTATGAACTCCATTTCCAGTGGCTGGGATCTTGGGGTTTCAAGATGGCGATGATACTCCCCATCCTCCCCCGGCATGACGACTATGGTGCTCTCCGTCCTCCCTCACTACGACCCCAGGCTAGAGGAGGAGCAGTAGGACACTCACCGGCGATGAGGAAACAATAGGGCAGGTGTCGAAGGAAGCAACAGAACAGGCGGCGCATGGAAAACGGTGAAGAATTGTGTGGGCAGAGAAGAGCGCAGGACACTTGTTTTTTTTTTGGCGCAATATCTCATCCCTATGGCATTCCATTGTGTAAATTTTCGGATTATTAGATGTAGTGCTTTTCCTATGGCATCCCATTGCGCAATATCTCATTCCTATGGTCTCCCATTGTGTAAACTCTTTTCCACAAATGAGTTTTTTTTTTCTAGAAGTTGTATTTTTCAATGTCTCCAGTTCACTATAGTTGTTTAGCTGTGGGCGTGGTGCCATGCTACGCCCTATGTTCTAGTGTTTACAATCGCTAGCTTATATACCTTATATACCCAAATGTGCACATGTTGTGGGCTAGTTGTTACTAATATCCTGATGATCGATGTAGCCTAACAATATAGGCAAAATGTACTGTATAGAAAACACAAACAAAACCATACTTGAAAGATATGATAGAAATCCTCAATCCTGATATAGATACAACATATATATGCCTTGTACGAACACACATTATGAATCCATTGTATCAACACAAACGTATGGAGTCTCCCTCTAATTAAGGTACACTACCAAGTTTTCATCATCACATCCTTCTATATAACACAAGAATCAATTCAATTTCAACATGATGGTGATAGACGGATGTTGATATGCTTGGTGTCGTCGCTATGGGCCAGCGAGAAGGTTCCCTCGGCAGTGAGGTTGAGATAGGTGACCGAGAGCTTGTATTCTCCCAAGAAGGCAGAAAAGTTGAAGGAGCCGCGGTCATTGGTGGTTCCCAGGGTCTCCTTGGTTTGCCACTCCCCCAGCAGCTTGTCCACCACATCTCCCGCAGGAAGGTTGGTGAAGTTCTGGTTGGTCAGGCACATCTGGTAGCAGCTAGCATTGGTGTCCATTGCCGTCCACAGCATTATGCCATCCACGGATGGATGGGCAAACCCTTCTCGGAGCACCTCTTCCAAGTATGCAGCCTGCAACATCATATCATCGTATAGTACATTAACAATGAGATATATAGGTTATATACTACCTCCTTCTCATGTAGCTACCTAGTATTGGATTTGACACTATCTACACATGTCCAGATTAGTAGTTTTAGGTAGTGTTAAATCCGGTACTAGATAGCTACGTTTTGAGATAGAGAAAGTATTTCTTATGGTCTGTCACTCGAGTTTTACATCTAGTAGATATATATTTGTGAGTATGTAACTACGTACCTGCGTTTTGGGGTCGAAGGAGCTACTGATGTCGATCTCGGTAAGCCAAATGGGGAGACGCAGGGTGCCGAGCTTATCGAGCACGGCGCGGACGTAGGGGATGTTGGGCTTGCCGAAGTGTCCCTCAAGGCCGATGCCTTCGAAGGTGACGCCGCCATCGGCGAGTTGGCGGAGGCGGGAGACGTAGGAGTCGGCACTGGAGCTGAGGTCATCGCAGACCTCGACGACGTTGAAGTCGTTGAGGAAGAGCGTGGCTAGCGGGTCGGCGCGCTTGGCTGTGTCGAAGAAGTCGACGGTGGCGTTGCCGCCAAGGCGGTTCTCATAGAAGTCGAAGTGCAGCATCTCGTTGCTGACGTCCCAATGCACAAAGTCGCCCTTGTACCGAGAGAGGAGGCTCTCGATGCGGCCAGAGACGGCAGCACGTAGCTGTGACCCCGTCAGATTCTTCACCCATGCTGGCGTGTACTTTGGGTCCTCCCAGAAGATATTATGCCCGCGCGCCACTGCGTCGTTGGCCTGCACAAACTGCAACAGCTGGTCCGCCACCGTATAGTCCTCCTTCCCCGGGTATGGCTCCGTTGCATACCACTTGAGCTCGTTCTCGAACACCGCCGCATTGAACCTCTTGTTGAACCATTCCTACAAATTCATTAATTAAGTACATTATTATTACTAAATTGTCATATATTATATATCTTAACACCAAAACAACTAAATAACATTTAATGTCTATCGCTACCGATTGGATATAGCGAGCTGTAACCTAGCAGCCGCTATATGAGCTGAGTTAGCGATCCGTGGTAGCAGTCACTGTATGATATAACAACTAAAGGCGTCGATGGTGCCAACTCCGACGCTTGCTCCACGAATTACGAATCAACACATTATAAACTCTTTAATCTATGTTATGTATCGAAATATCACTAATTTATTTCTCAGTTTCTTTGTTAATGTATTATAAAATCATTATTAATGATACACATACTCAAATTTATGTGTGATTATTAAATTTCGTTATTGGAACTTAGCTTCAGTTATCCGTGGTTCGCTACATAGACACCTGCAATCCGCTACGAACCTACTGTCCACTATTTGTTTTGTTGCTTAACACACGGTTTAATTTCATAAATCAATGCTAAAGTTCGTCATATATCTCAGAAAAAAATTAAGGAAAGAATCATGAAAACAATAACCTGATAAAGTTTGTTCCCAAGGATTGTCCTGCTGATGGCAGAGCCGAATGGGAAATCCCTGGTGATCTGATGCACCGCGACCTTGGCACCAACCACGCGACTCCCGTTGCTGTCCGCCACGTGGACATTGACAAAGCGCTTCCGGTTCTGTTCGTGAAAAAGAATTACATGCTGGCATCATCATTTGCTCCACACTTCCTCACAATTAAGTTGGATTTTTTTTAAATTATCCATCGTGTGACAGTTTTTTTATAATGGATTAAACCGGTCTCTATACCCAAAAGAGTTACACAGCCTAAGAGTCGACGAAACAGTATAAGTACATTTTATTACCAGCTGAATACGGTCCTCCCTGTGCTGATTCCATTGTTCAGGTGAAAATGGTTGCAAAGAGGCACTTCTGATCGAGATCGTTGAAGCATTTGGGCTTGCAGTCTGCAGTGAATAAATTGCAAACTGCATGACGATTAATTAATTCACCAAGTCAAGATCTAAACTAGGTTCAGCTAAATTTGTATGCCAATATATTACTGTGCTCTCTGTGACTTAACCGTGAGGAATTAAATTAAGTATATCACCTGGAAATAGAGGACGGAGGTTTCTGAAGCGGAGTTGAGGGTGAAACCACCCTTGAGGAAGGACCAACAGTCGTTTCGCACCAGAGCCGTGCCAAGGCATTGAGATGCAGCGTTTGCTAGCGTCAATATCTTGGCTTTCACATGAGCAGTTGTTGGCCCATCGATTTTCACCCAGCCTAGAGAAAATCAAGCAAGCAATTCCACAAGGTTAATTTTACTCCCAGGAAATGACAAAATTAAGCCAGTAGAATTGCAGGTCCATCAGAAATCTGAATACCAATAACAAAATCAAATTAAATGAAAAGGGAAACAATTATCTATTTCACTTGAATATTTGCTAGTCCAATAATTTTTAATTCACCTAAAAAATAACGATTGCTTGAAGAAAACTTTCAAGAAAATGCTCAACAGACCAGTACCAAATAGTAAAGTCATAAAATCAGTACCATGCCAAAAAAGCAGGGGAGCATGCATGAAAATGTGCGTGCCAAACAGTAGAAAACAGGGCAGGAAAATTCGCATCGCTGGTTCAATATGGCAGCATATATATGCACGATACGATGTTTGGGACTCCCCGTTTTCTTTCGTTTGTACGCGGGCAATCTGCACGAATCTTTGGCCGCCCCGCGCCCAACATATGCATATGCGCATGCGCGGCCAGGGTTGAGACTTGAGAGAGGACGATGCGATGCCGGCGAGATCCGGCTATATGCGTGCGGCGTGCCCATCTCATCATCATTCTCCCTAGTTTCCTCCGTGTGTCTTGTAGCTCTTCTTGGCTTGTTCTCTTCTATGGTGGGGGCCTGCTCACGCTCACGTGGTTTCTTTTTGCTCATTTCTGGCTGGGATACATTGGGTCAGGGACCCCTACTGCAGCCACAGTCCTTTTGGTTCCAAATGTTAGGGTGTGTTTGATTGGGTGGATGTGACTGGATGGGAGATGGCTGTCCGATTATATGAGTTGTTTGATTGGAGGGCAGGGTGGATGGGATGGTAAAAAAAAGTAAATATTCTCTCAATATTTTTAAATTATTTTTCGTTTTTGCTAGAATTGTGGCGTACGCCTAGGGGTCTTATGGTTAGCTCCACAAGCTAGGTGGTGTACTAGACGACCTGGATTCGAAACATCATCAATTCTAATTATTTGATATTAGGTAATTCCCAATATTTTGCGTCTTTTTTGATAAACGCCTAGGGAATTTCCGAATAGCTCCACAAGGTGGTTGGCTAAACGACTTGGATTCGAAGTCTCACCCCTTCTAATTATTTGATATTTGGTCATTCCCTAATATTCGCGCACATCGGTTGGATTACAATCCATGGCTGTTTGCATATGTCACCAAGTGACTTGACACTTTTTCCTGAGCCATTAAAAACAATCAGCCCACTTAGGATCAGTTATATTTTGCCAAAGCTAATCAACTGGAACCTACTCCTCCATTTTAAAAGAGTGTAGTTTTAGTCGAAGAATTTGTCTATAGGATGTTATATATCATAGCTATATACGCTACTACAGAATCCCATTAAGTTCTAGCTTGCTCCTTTATATTTAACCTATCTAGATGTGGGGGAAATATCCGGTGAAAACCATCAAATAAGTAAAAACCCGTGAAAACCATATCTAAAATTTTTATAAATTTATGAAAAAAAAATACTAGAGATAGGTATATGCATAAAATACATAGCTTTTTTTTTCTTCCAAATGGAGTTGATTTTGGACTCGAGATTTGGTATAAATGTATTTCATGCATATACCTATCTCTAGTAATTTTTTCATAAATTTACAAAACTTTTAGATATGGTTTTCACGGGTTTTTACTTATTCGATGGTTTTCGCCGGATACGTCCCCCTAGATGTGAACGTGTATGTATTTGTTTTCTTCATTTTTATATATTTTTTACGTTTTCAAAAGAAATTTAGAGAGGTCAAATATTTATCATGGAACTCGTCGTCTCTGACATGTATTAGGGGATTCCATTTAGGCTAGCCTGCAAGCTAATGCATAGTTCGATAACAATGCAAGCATGCATGCTTTATCCATTTTTTTCTTTTACGCGTACAATATGATCGAACGAGTGGCCGGGGAAATTTTAGCCTTTTCTACAGTTAAATTAGCAATTACTAGCTTTTATACTTTAGAATTAAATGGCGGTCTCTGAGAGAGCTAGTACAAACAAACAAAAAGAAAAGGATAACGGCTGGAAACATACCATGCTTAGAGCAGGTATAATAGGGTACAGTCAGTAGACGGTAGAACTGTTCATCTAAAAGTAAATCCTACATGGAAGAGTGAGAAAACATCAGAAAGAGAGTAGCCGGCCCTTAATCTATCGCCAGGCTAGCCATTAAAAAAACAGCACGACCAATCGGTCATCCATGCATGCTTCAGCTGCAAGATTTTTCCACTAATTACACGCTTCCCAATGGCCTCAATGAGAGAGAATAGAGATTGTAAGAGAATAATTTTTGCTGAGCTGGACTTTTTATAGCCCGCTGCTAGCTATATACTATTATGTTTTGTGTTGGTGGGGGACGGGACGTAACAATTAGTAATAAATATTTTCTATAAAAAAATATTACATTACATGATGGGTGCATCAGACATAAAGAGCATTGTGTGCGCAAATGAATGCCTAAGGCACCAAAAATATTTTGGAGCATGCACATGTGAATATTCAGTGAACTTGTCCTCATTCGTGTCATATTACGTAGAGAATCTATTCTATGTAAATGAATTTACTATAGTTAAATGACTTACCATTGACTTTGGCTCTCTTTAATATGCCACTAACTTTACTATTTTTTTCTACAATATATCATTAGGATGGAGTACTTTTAAAAATACCTAAAATACAATTCGAGTTACACAAGGGGTTAACAAATTGATTGACCCCACTACAAGTTTCGAAAAAATATAATTTTTTCATGTAGCCTCCTTCCAAAATATAGAAGTGTATGTATATTTCAAGATTTTGAATTTACATGTATTAACTGTTTTGAGAATATAAATATATTTTATATGCTAATAGAATACTCTTTTTATTGATGTTCTTTTATGTAAATTATCTTTCATATGATATAAAATATTTTTTATCCGGATACCTTTTGTGTATGTGATTCCGCTTTCATAGGCTATATAAAAGTAGTTTTCCAAACAAAAAAAAGGAAATCACAAAATATACACAAAAACTTCTATATTATATAAAAGACAACACAAAAACTTTTATATTTTTTCGAAACTTCTAGTGGATCAATCAGTTATAACCTCTTAGGACTTGAAGGGTATTTTAGACTTTTTTGAAAAATATCCATTCAATCACACAGTAGAAAAAGTTGACAAAGTTAGTAGCATATTATAGAGAGAGAAAAACGTTAATGGCAAGTCATAGTAAACTCGATGGTATATAATAATTCTCTCCATATTATAACATAAGTGTTGCATGCATGCACAACGCTAGCCATATCAAAAAGCCAACAACCCTCAAAATTATTAGAACAAGTTTTTGTCGAGTTACTAATGCTTGAAGTTTGACAAATATCTTCTTTTTTGAGTCCCATAGTTATTTTTTGGAAAAATTGGTTATATAGCATCGAAAGTTCATGTTTTTGGTTTTATAGCACCGAAAGATACCGATTCACTTTAATAGCACCCAAAGTTCACCATGTTCCCATTTTTAGCACTTCCATCAATTCTCGATCGTTTTCCGTCCGTCGTGATCCAGCCACACACACGATATGACGTTTCTACCCCTCACAACGTTTCTACCCCTCACAAGTACAAGTAGAATGCATGTCAATGAGGGGTAGAAACGTCATATCGTGTGCGTAGCTGGGTCAATAACGATCAAGACGGACGGAAAAATTGACGGAAGTGCTAAAAATGGGAACAGGGTAAACTTTGGGTGCTGTTAAAGTGAACCGGTATTTTTCGGTGCTATAAAACCAAAAACGTGAACTTTCGATGCTATATAACCAATTTTGCCTTTTTTATCATTTTATTTTAGGGTGTTGATACCTCTTTCATACAGAGTTTATGCTTCACAACCTCCTATAATATGGTTCAGGCAATTGTTCGCCAAGATACCCTTTGCCGTCATTCACTTCAACATAAAATTACTACGTACTCATTCAATTCAATTCGTTATCTCTAGAATTTGTTTTCAAGATAATCCATTTGGTAATTAATATTTAATGTTTAAGACTATCAATTGTTGTACTGAAATAAAATTATAAATAAATCTAATAAATTTGTGATAGTATTTTTCAAGGTAAATATATGTATAGCTTTTTAACTAAGCATTTTAGAAACTACTAGTCAAATTTAAAGGGTTTGATCATATCTTTTTTTCTAAACATCAAATACTTCCTACTAGAGGGAGTACAAGATAAGCAAGAAATTCTGCATTTGTGGATAGCACCAACACACTGCAAAGTTGCACCAGCTCCATGTAAAATTTTCAGATCAACTAGTCAAATACTCATTCTTTGAAAAAAAAAGAGAGAAGAAAATCAGTTTCACTAGTTTTGAAAACACGAGCACAAATTAGAAGACAGAGGAACAAAAACAGAAGTGACGAACAAAAAATGAAGTGTGATATATATACTCACAGGAGAAGCTGTATACTGTTGCCGCGGACATATTATACAGCACAAATGCCGGCGAATAGTTGCCATCGTCCTCTGTTCTGAAGTCCGTCACTTTGTTCGCCCAGCGCAGGATGCCACCGTTGTACAGTGCAGGTTCAGGATGCGATTTGCACTGAAGAAGAAGGCGGCGGTTCAGAGCTCAGACGCATACAGCCCCATAGTTTTGTTTATGCTTATACTTATAAGCTAAAATAAATTTTCGTCATATAACATTTGATTTTTAATCGTGAAGTTCGTTTATAAAAATTTTACACATAATTCTTTTTTTTACAAATGTGTAAGTATAAGTATAGGCGAAACGACGAGGCTGGTAAATCGATCAGCATAGGAGATGAGGTAGAGAGGAAGAGATCTAGACGATGCGTTGCGTACCTCAGTGTAAGCTCTGTAATCATAGCGCACTCCATCTGCAAAACAGCAAATTTGTTTTCCTTTTCTGTCAGGCGAAATCCATAAAGTCGGGTGCCAAAATGAGCAGGATTAATTCCTCCCATGGATCGATTGGTTAACTCACCGGAGGATGCAGCAGGGCGAGCTAGCAAGACGATGAGCAGCAGCAGCAGCAAGAGCAAAGCCTTCCGATCTGCAGGGAGAAGAGGCGATGATGATGACGACAGTGCAGCAGCCTCCTTGTGCTTCTTGCCAATCGCCATAGTTCCCGTCGTGAGTGAGGGTAACACGAGCACACAGAGACTAGCTCTCTCTGTTGTCTCTCGTGATTTCTTCTTGGATCGACGTGTTGATGTGTGCTCACACGGTATTTATAGGAAGCCAAGCAACTGTACAGCTAGCTCTAGCTAGTGTCTAGATAAGTTGAAAAGAAACGCAAATTTTACTACAAGATATTATGGTTTTAGTTCTGAACACGATAAAAGTTAACTTTTTTTTCAGAAAACAGTTTTAAAGTTTGTGAAAATTTGCTACTTTACATTGCACACATTAAAATATTTATTTCTAGTTAGATAGGAGAGAAAAATGATGTGAGAGGTTAAAAATACCCATTGCTTCCACATCTCAGCTCTCTTATTCCTCTTTTCGATAAGTTTGAACTTTCATATTTTGACTACCAATAATTTGTTAATGCTTACTTTTACTATGGTAACCCTATTAAATTTTATAAACTTATTGTAATTGAAGTTAAAGTTCTACAGTTTTGACCGAACGAGCAGGGCACTAAGTTTAAAATATTTTTAAAATGACTATATTTTGTAGCTTATTTCACATGGCATCAAAAGTTCAAAACCCATATAATCCCACTGATAAACGATAACCCATAAATAACATGTAGCCATGTAGGTTTGTAACGTGTCAGCCCTACATATGTTGGAGCGCGCTATCAAGCTGCATGTAGCTGCACTAAAACTTGTGCATTTTGTAAGAGGTAAAGCAGAGGAGCAACTATTTTTTTTTCTCCAAGCATGAATTTTAGATTGAACCCTCTTTTCTTACCAAAAGTTTACGTTAAACCCCTGAAACACATATTTTTGCTTTGACAACTTTGTATTTGAATCTTTTTTTTCAATACCATTCTTATCTTTGGGTAGACGCAGGCAGAGACGCCGAGGGTGTCAACGCAGACACGCAGTGGTGAAAAGATCTTAGTGGGGTACACTGAGGCCTAGTTGCCGTTCCGGCTTAACTGATCGCGTGAAAAAATCCGCTAATGATTAATTAAGTACTCCATCTATCTCTTAATATAAGAGATTTTAACATTTTACTTGTAATATTTGACCATTCGTCTTATTAAAAAACTTTAAAATTATTATTTATTTTTTATTGACTTACGTTATTATCCAAAGTACTTTAAGCACAACTTTTCGTTTTTTATGTTTGCACAAATTTTTTGAATAAGACGAGTGGTCAAAAAGTGTAAGCAAAATGTCAAAATTTCTTATATTATGGGACGGAGGGAGTATTAGGTATTATAAATTTTTAAAATAAATTTATTTAGCTTTAAAAATAATTTCATATATAAAGTATTTCACGAAATATGCTGAAATGCACCTAAGACTAAATTAGTTTGATGACAACAGTAAAAAGATGCTATAAAGTAAAAAGAAAAAGGAAAACGAAAAAAGGAGGTCCAGAGTGCAAGGGTAAAACTTTGGCAAAGAACAGGTGTCAAACTGAAATTCACTCTGAAAGCTAATGAGCATTTGACTTTCTTAAAAGTTTTATACAGCATCACTTACTACTAGGTACTATACTCCTACGTGTCATTTTTACAAAGTACTATGTGGTCATACATCACGTTAGCCTTGACAGCATTAATTCTTGGCAGTTTATGGACGTGGAAGCAGCTGCGCTGAATGGGGCCTGCAGCATGCTAGCTAGCCTTGCTAGCTTCCGGCTGGATAGAACGCAATATGCAGATAATGGTGAAAGAAAGGGAGTTTGGAACGTGAAGACTAACAACATGTGGGCGTGAGGCAACAACGAGAGACAGGTAGGGAGAAGTATACTGACTAGTGCACATGCATGATCATATATCACAGTTCACATACGACTCGCAAGTGCATGTATACCCAACTTTCGGTGTGACATATATTGCGCGTGCAGTTGTCACGCGTACATTGAAATTAAACTAGATGGGTTCTGTTGGTATGCACCAATTTCAGCTCATATACTCCCTCCGTTCCAAAATGTTTGACGCCGTTGACTTTTTTAAAAATGTTTAACCGTTCGTCTTATTCAAAAAATTTAAGTAATTATTAATTCTTTTCCTATCATTTGATTTATTATTAAATATATTTTTATGTATACATATAGTTTTACACATTTCACAAAAGTTTTTAAATAAGACGAATGGTCAAACATGTTTAAAAAAGTCAACGGCGTCAAACATTTAGAGAAGGAGTAAGTACTAAATATGGTTTATTAAATTATAAACTAATATATTACCTCAAATATGATATGTAAAAAAAATACGTAAGGATTCAGGATGTATTTGTGTCCGTCCCTCCTCACGTCGGCCCAGGTGGCGCGACTCATCCCCCTCTCCGCGTGCGCCTCTACCTCCACCTCTGTCTCCCTCCCCTGATCTTCCCTCCCTCCCGGCGGCCTCCATCTCTCCCTCGCGATCCCAAAAAATTATTTGATCCGGCCTACCTGCACGCGCCCCCTTCCCCCCACGGCCTCTCTCCTCTCCCTCACAGCCCCTCTCCTCTCTCTGGCGCCCCTCCTCCCTGTCGCTCCTTCCTCCCAGCGCCCCTCTTCTCCCTTGTGTTCCCTCCCTCGTTCAACGAGACCGGAACCCACTCGTCTAGGAATGAGTTTTGATGCACTCACCCGGCTGCGATCACCACCAGAGCTCCTCGTTGCCATTTATCTCTCTCTCGGGACCACATAGTCGTTGTTCCCGCTATTATAGTTTTCTTCATTGCCAACTGCCACCATCTATGGACGAGTCACATTGTGCGACACGTCCGGCCATCTTACTCACTATTGTTTGGTTGCAGGAGGACCGGCGCCCATCTTCCCTCCTCTTCTCTTTCTTGTTTTGACTAGGAAGACGATGAATAGTGTTAGTAATTTTTATCTCCATCTTTCGTTCTTCCAGCGTGTTCAAGGAAAATTGAACCCCTTCATCTGGAACGTATTTTGATGCACTCATCTGGTCGTGTTCACCACCAAAGCTCGCTGTTGCCGTTTCTCTCTCTATTGGTACCACATCATTCTAACCGTATTCATGTTGTTCTGATTTTCTTCGTTGCCAACCTCCACCATCTGTGGATGAAGACACAATTCCTTCCTGGTTTAGCCTGAACATGCTCCTGGATCACTCACATAATATTAAGACCATAGGAATATGAATAGAGCATGAAAATTCTAATATGTCAATGAAACGGGTACTCGTTCAGAATTAATGGATCGGATTTTCATTTATGGGCTAAAATATTTTTTTTTAATTTCTAGCTAATTTCAGTAGTTTTTCCATTTACATTATTAATTTTAGCACTATTTGATCCATTCAAAATTGTTGTAACTTATAATATTGAATTATTTATAGCTAAATGAAAAAAAGAGGATTTAGTTATATAATTTTCATTAAATATATTAAATTATCGTTCCGGCCAAAGTTATTTTTAGTTTCATGCTGTTATTTATATGATTATATTTCCTTCAATCCAATCGTGATATGCGGTTTAGGATTTTAATTTAATCATATTTCTTTCAGTTTAATTGTGATATATGGTTTAGAATTTTAATTTATGTCAATGAATGTTATTTAGAATCCGTTGCAATGCACGGGCATCATGCTAGTAATAATAATAAGAAAGAATGTTAATGCGAAAGCGGATGGTGGAATGGGGCGCAGTGCATACTAAGGTAGGAGAAGCTAAAATGCGGATAGTTGAAAGAGTAGGTAATGAGGTAAATTATGTTATACCAAAGGTTTGGGTCCATTTTGTCTTTTCCTCGATGACCCTCATTTCCACAATCATATCTATATGATGTAAATTTGCTATCAGATTCTTTTTTGTCTGTGTACCTTTTTCCTGACTTCAAAGCCCTTTTGACCTCCATGGCTATGCCAAAACATCTAAGCCTCATCTGCGACTTTTGAATTCCATTCCAACATGAGGTCCCAAACATGGCAGTGGCATATCTTCATACATAAAAACAGTAGCAAGTATGGCACTAGTGTATACGCATGATGATAAAAAAACTGAATACACAAGCATGGAGTTCTATTACAAACCTATATCCTTCCATCTTACGAGTATGATGGCCTAGACTTGATTAGCATCTGCAATCAAATGTTTTTTTTTCCATGGGAAAGGGATCGAAAAGCTTGATCAAAGGCAACCTAATATGAGGAATTGAGGAGTTTGATCAATTCTAAGAAGCCATTCATAGGGATATGGTAGAAGAGAGGTAGATAGTTAACACTAATGATCAAAGTGAACAAAAGCTCTTATTGTTTGCCGACCCTCAGAACAACAGCTGACAAGGATTTTTTTTCCCCTCCATCTGACAGGGATGGCACCCTTTTTCCCTCCAGATGACCGGGCGGTGAATGGGCGCGCGGCGGCCAGGGCGAGCACGAGGTTGTTCATGGGCTGATTTTCCTTGCATGGGCCGAGTGCGAGATCGCTCGCCTGAGTTGCTCACTGGTTCGTGCAACGCAAAAGGGATGAAGCAGCTACGATCATGCGATGCAGATCGAGCAGTCCAGCGATGTGCGACATCCCTCTGACATCAGTTGGCCAAAGTCAGACGGCCGAGTTCCGTACTATGGGACCTTAGTGTTAACGGTTTCCCTCTGTATCATATTATATTATAAGTCACTTGACTTAATTAAACTTTTTTATGTTTGGTCAAGTTTGTAAAAAATATATACTAACGCTTTCAATATAAAACAAATATATTGTCAAAATATATTCAATGTTAGATTTAATGAAACTAATTTTATATTATATATGTTATTATTTTTTTCTATAAATTTGGTCAAATCTAAATAACTTTAACTAAGAAAAAAGTCAAATGACTTGTAATGTGACATAGAAGGAGTACTAGTTAAGAAACACATATAAACATCACGAAGGATATAATTTAAAAACATTAATTTGGTAGCAAATGCAGAATCAGCAGAAACAACATTTAGTCCCAACTCCCACGAGCCGCACAAACTGAAAGAAGATCATTCGATGAGAAGGAAATAAATAGAGAAAATAAGCAAGATGTCATGGAGTGAAGAAAAATAAATTAATTGAAATCACAGAAATTGCAAGGGAAACGAAGAAGGATGATTTTTTTTTACCATCCACTTGCCCTCCTCGGGTGGAGGTTGTGGCTAAGGGAGGGGGCTGGGATCGGCAGCGGCAGTGGGGGCATAAGGTCGTTGGCTGCCTGACGATGAGGTACGGCGGAGTCAGGGTCAGTGGTGTCAGCTAAACACAGGACACGTGGCAGATACATAGGGATCATCAGTGATCTATATTCCTCATTTGCGTGACGCGCGCAGAGTGGTTGATTCAACGATGAGGTCCTGGCAATGATGGATCGAGGCGGAGGGGCTGATTCAGTGATGGGTCCCGACTGATGGATCAACGTGGAGGGGCTCGAGGCAACTACACGATGGTGATCTAGGTTGATGCATCAGTAGCACCTGAAACAACGGCGACGTGGCGCGCTTGACGACATCAACGATGATAGATTGATGGTGCCACTGTTTGAAGCGGAGTGAACTGAGGTGGCAGCACCCACGATGAGTGTATGGAGTGCTAGGGAGACCAAGATAGGGAATTGGGGGAGATGGAGGCGGAAGTGCAGGATTAAGGGTGTGGGAGGTGGGAGCGATCTAGGATGTTGGATTTGAGTGACAAGATCTTGACTGTTTCATGGTGGATTTGAAAATGTAAGAATGAAAGATAAGTATAATAAGTTGGTGAATTATAGAGGAGATAGATACATAATTAATACTTGGTCCACCTCTCTCTTTTATATAGCTTGTTGAAACCTGTGTTGTAACTAGCTATAAATTTATGGTCCGTTTTTCTTCTCCATTCTCTAACAAAGAATAAACTAATGTGGCAATTTTTATAGCCTACTTACCTCATCCTATTGTACTCAGCAAACAGAACTTAGATGAGTCATGGGAGTGCTCTAGTCATGCTTTGGGTCAGGATTCTCCGCACTGAAGAACAAACTGCAGAGTTACAGTACAGTGCATTAGGGTATGATTTTTGCTATTGGATCCACATCCAACGGTTCAAAACAAAGTGCTACAACAGATCTAAACACTAAACCTTAATCAGTAATTGCATAACAGTAAAACGGATACTGTTCATGTACTTTTGCTATAGTGCTACTGCACTTCACTGTAGCGGTAGACACAATGCACTTTTGACAAAGTGTCCCTATGAATTACAGTGGAGGATCAGGATCCATCAGTGTTACGTGCCCCCGCCCAAAGCCACGGAGACCTGCCGTTGGGTATGGTTACCCATTCCGCACACCCATACCCACTTGAAATGGTAGGGTATGGTCATGTCGAGGACAACTTATGTTGCCCATCATGAATGTGTTGGGTATGGGTAACCCGTAACCCCTAATAGAAACATTGTAAGGGAGAGGTTTGTCTTTTTTATCTAACATAAGGATGATTTTTCCCCAAATTGAATACCCAAATTGAAATGTGACATGCCGAGGGAGATATGACGGAGTACTAAGATGGCAGCGATTGTGGGGTCCAACGTTTAATAAATAGCGTATATCGCGTCGGTAGTAGATTGTTGCCTATGTAGCGGATCGTGGATAGTGGGTGCTAAGTTCCAATAGAGTATTACAAATAACGACTTTATAAAACATTAACAAAGCAGCTAAGAAATAAATTAATGATATAACCTACAAGGATAAGTAGAGATTTAGTAGCACTCAAAAAGTTGATGTATTATTTCAACCTAAACTAAATTAAGAAGCATACATGATATTCTATTCATTAGATGTTATGACTCACAGGAATATAATGTTTTGGAAGACAAAACAACTAACAAACTCGTCATTAATTTGTTATGGGTTAGTGGTTATATAAAATATGCTCACACTATAGCGGCCCGTTAAATAGAATTGCAGAAATAGTGGCTGCTATATTCCAATATGTTACTTCTAGTCCAGTGGCGAAGCTATGTATGTGTGTTTGGGGGAGGGGGGGGGGGGGCAACACCCCACTATCCGTCCCCCCTGTTGTCTAGCCTTGAAGCCCATGGACCTTACTAGGATCCAATGTTCTGTCTGCTCGAGAGAATCAACGAGCAGAGTAGCGATGTCGACGTCTCGGCTTCTTCGTTAACCCTCGTCCTATCGCTTCAGCTTCGCATTGTGCGACAGCGACTGTCGGCAACAGTGACACACTACGCACGCGGTAAGCCTCTCTCCGCAATCTGTGCCTCTGCCCTTCGATCAACGATCGCGTGCGTCTCACCGTCAAGTACGCAGCACACCTAACATGACCATCGGACGCGGCCTACAAGTGAGGTTTTGTCCATTTTCCCCAATACAGCAAAATAACCTAATCGCTTGACTTTTAGTTTTATGTTTTCTTTTACTTGTACGGTAGTCACTTGTCCATAATTTAGTATATAGACATTTAGTCCGTTGGTGAGTACTGGATTTTGTGATGTTTGAGGCTTGGAGGTAGTTGCTACTCTCTCCGTTTTAGATTATAAGTCGTTTTGACTTTGGTCCAAGTCAAACTACTTCAAACTTAACTAAATTTGTGATAATTGAATATATTTTTATAATATATTTGTCTTGGGTTGAAAAATGTTACTTTTTTTTTTTACAAACTTGGTCAAACTTGAAACAGTTTGACTTTGACAAAAGTCAAAATAACTTTTAATCTTAAATGGAAGGATTACCTAATAACTATATGAGCACTTGAACCTTCTTTTCTATCTAAAAAAATATTTTTGTTGATTATCTACCAACAATGAAGCCATGAAGGCTATAGTATGTATATGCATTGATTGTCATGGACTTTGGCCATTTTGTCTTCTGGCTCCCTCAATCTCAGATTTGGCTTCGCTCCTGTTTACAGTGCACTACATCATATAGGCACTGGTAGAGGGCCACTGTCATGATATTTATTAGCTCAAGCATCGTATAAGGGCTGAGTAGTAAAAAAATCAAAATTGAAAACAGGATAAACAGAAAAGCCAAGACCGAGACCGAACTAACTGATTACTTTTTTTTGCGACAAATACAGGGAGCTTTATTAAATCATATCAAGATTACATTCTTGAGCAAGAAGCTCAGAAACATTCCCTGGAGCCTGCAGGCGCCAAACGGGTATCGTTCCATCGATCGGTGGTTACCTCTGTTGCGCCACCGCCACCACCAGCCAACCCATCAGTCGAGTTCTCGGCTTCACCCTTCCAATTCCCGAGTTGGCTTAACGAGTCAGCTAGCTCAATTCAACTCATCGAGTCGAGCCGACCTGATAGTACTATATAAAACTGATTGATTCATATTACTACGACGTTTTAGAGCATCACCAAGAAGTTTTCTAAACTGAAAATAGGAAATAAATAAGTTGATCTCCCTAAGAGAAAGCCTAAATTTTATCAAAAAAAAATATTTTTCTGGAAATATTTTTTTTGATAAAATTTAGGCTTTCTCTTAAAGTGATCAGTTTAGAAAACTGAAACAAATTTTCGGAGAGATTATACGTCTGTTGATGCTTAAGGCTGTGTTCGGTAGAACAAGTTCGCATCCGGAACAGAATAGTGATCACAGAAAACAGAGCGGTCTATTAGCGCGTTATTAATTATGTATTTGCTATTTTTTTTTCAAAAATGGATTAATTTGATTTTTTAAGCAAATTTCGTATAGAAAATTTTAAAAAAACACACACCGTTTAGCAGTTTGAAAAGCGTGCACGTAAAAAACGAGGGAGAGGGGTTGGGAAAAGGGGCATCCTAGCTGCAGCCGAAAAACCTACATCCAGTTTGTGGAAAACAAAAAGAAAAAAGAAAAAACCCAAAACCTAACTACTGTAGCCTGTACGCACATCTATCCCCCATCCGCCGCCCCCTCCCTTTCGTCTTTCGTCGCTCGCTACTACCGTGCCGCGTGCCGCCTCCCTCGATCTCACGATTCGCCTCCGCCGCCCCGTCCTGTTCCCCAACGCTAGCTCCCATTCCCCACGCCTCCCCTCTATTCTATTCCCGCTTTCCCTATCTTCCAAAGCCGCCGAGCCGCGCGGCCGAGTGCAAAAAGGAAAAATATCGGTCCCCGCGAGCTAGGGTTTACCACCCCCCCCTCGTCCACCTCTCTCTCTCTCCGGGTGCCCACGCCGGCGGCGAGCTCTCCTCAACTGCGCCGCCGAGAGCCCCCCCGCCCCCCCTGTTCGTGGGGGAAGTACAGGTTCGCAGTGCCACCCTCTGTGTCTACTAGTGAAGTTTCAGTTTTGGACTATGATTTTGTTATTATGCTCCATTATGTTGGGAGATTGGGATTGGGGAATTGAAACAGTCACGTGAATCCAATTAGGCAACTAAAAAAACAAAAACAAAGAGAGTACAAAATAGGGAAAGGCGAAAAATTGAGAGGCACCGCACTGGGGATGTTTGATTGCTTATAATTCAATGGCTGATCTGTAAATGTTAGCCATTTCGGCTTGGAAATGAGTGGAAAAAGCTAATTAATCGGAATTTTTTCGCAGGCTGATCTTAGTTGGGGGGGTATACTCTGCGGTCTACTTGCTACTCCAGCAATGTATTGTTCTCACTGTCAAGATAACTGCCCCGTCGTAAAGGACCCTGACAAAAACTACACGTGAGGCCTCCCTTCCTGTCTTTTTTCTCCTTCCATTTCGATGCAAAATCAGCTAGTACAAATTGTTTATAAGCATGGCCTTGTTGGTCACTCTTAAATTTCTGTGTACCAGCTCTAACACTTTTGTGCGCGTGTCATTATGTAATTTTTCATATGGTGATCAGATGTTGTGGTTTGTGTGGGAAGGTTCTTGATGATCAGGTTTACGATGGTGAGCCAACTTTCCAAAAGGGCGCCGACGGGCAGGTTGATCTTTCACTTTGCTTCTAATTTGGTTTGGTTTATTTATTTTTCACTTCTCATGTTGGTTGTTTTGGAGCTTTACAGGCCCGGTTGGCTGGTAGTATTCTATCAAGCATTGAGAGTGGTAATTCAGTATCCCATGAAAGAACTATAAATAAAGGTACGACTTTGAGGTCATTCCTCTATCTCATTTTGCTGCCACTTTGTGGGCTAATTTCATGCTTTGTTTTTCCAGGAAGAGAGGAGATTAGGCAGATTGTCAGCAGCTTACATGTGGCTGGTGGAGATACTATTATTAGCATGGCTCATCGCTATTATACAGTATGTATCTTTGTTACTACTACCTCCGTCCCAAAATATAACAACTTTTAGCTTTGAATCTGGACACACAGTTGTCCAGATTCATAGCTAAAAATGCTTATATTTTGGGACGGAGGGAGTAGTCAGTAGCTTATAATTTCTAAAATAATATGGTACATGGTGATGCTGATGTTTATTCTTGTTGAAGTTTAGCTAGCTGTTGACAAGAATTTTACAAGGGGCCGTCGAACAACTCATGTTGCTGCTGCTTGCCTTTATATTGCCTGCCGGTATGCTACCACCTAATTACTTTGTTGATTTATTGAAAGTCTTCTCACTCATTGTACTTGTTTTTTTTCTCAAGCAGTACCTTTCAATAGAATTATTTCTTGAGCATGATTCTTTTCTTTGTCATTGAACTTATAAAATGCCTAAACTATAACACAGCTAAGCTATTCCAGACTATAGAGCATGCATGGTGAACATTTGTGATGGGTTTGTTTAATACATATATATTTTACCAAGCACACAATCTGAACATTGCCATGCATGGCCCTCAAATATATCTTCCATGTGGAAAGGAATGCTGTGTCCTAAATTTTCAAGCGCAGAGTACTTAATGGCCTGGTTATGCTATATCTCATTTTTCCCTTTAGGAGAACATAATACTCCCTGTAATTGCAAAACAAATCCTAGGATTTGACACCGGCCAAACTTTTTAACCCTTGATCAATGGTCATATTGGAAAAAATAACTTCCATTTCTCTAGAGAACATATAACATCCATGATTGTCTTTATCCATAGAAATACATGAGCATGTAGGTGGTTATAGAAACTAGCAGTCAATGTGGCTCATTGTAGATTATGTCCATGTCCCAGATGGTGTGCTATATTTGCAATCATAGGTCGTACACAGTATTTTCATTAGTTATTGCTGTTCTTAAGTTGTCCAGCATTATTTTTTTTCCTATTAGTTCCCTTGGATATCTGTTGTCAAGTTTCAAACTTTTGTTGATATTCATTCCTGACATTCATTATACCTAATTTGTGTGCTAGGCAAAGTAAAAAGGCATATCTTCTTATTGATTTCTCGGACCATTTGCAGATAAGTGTGTAAGTGCCCCATTCTCCTGCCCTTATCTTGTAGCCCTTAGTGACATGGCTCATCTGGATTTTTCTTTCAGTTATGTCCTAGGTGCTGTTTTTCTGCAGCTTTGCCAAGTTTTGCTACTTGCGGAACATCCAGTTATCCAAAAGCTCATCGACCCCAGCCTTTTCATACATCGTTTTACAGAACGTAAGCCACACTAAATTGTATTATTTAAATTTAGCGGCTGAAAACACATGTGCCATTTCTTGTGTACATCTCTACATTTCCATGCACTTTGAATATGCACATTTGGTTTCTTCAATGTGGGGAGGGGGATTGTTCATGTCATGCAATTATAAGAGGCTGGGCCAGGCTGTTCCAATGTTGGTACCTGCCACATTTGCCATGGAGAACATGTTGGAGTGCAATTCTGTTTGGAAATTGCAATTACAACATGAATTCTGATTCTTAAATCATAGGCGCTGTTTGATTGATTTGCAGAATTGGATCGAAATTGTGGTATTCGAGTCCTGAATCAAATTTTACTCGAAACAGTCATAGGCTCTTGCATTTACACCCCAGTGAGAAGTGGACTGATGGATGGACCATTTGATAATTCTTGCACAAAGATTTATGTAGCTTTTGACTAATTTCTTCACCTTAATTTATCTAATCTATTCAACGTGCTTTTACATTCTTGTGAAAAAATATATAACAATTATTTAAAATCACATATGATATTTATTTTGAACTATTTGATAGATTTGTATATGGTAGAGTCATGTGTAGTAGTCAGACTGGGGCATACTATAGTCAAACTATCTCCTCGCTTGTGTTGCTCATGTGAAGGAGTTCAATTGCAATGCAAGCTCCATCCTTTTATCCCCCCCTTTTCTGAGATCTTTGCAAGGCAATGCCAGAAGGCAATTGCTTGGGTTAGTAAGGAAACCAAACATGTTTAGTCTGATTATTTTTGTTTTTTGTGTCACTTTGTTGGTTTTATCTGTAGGTTTACTGGGGAAGAGGGACAATGCCGTATCAGATACGGCTTTACGCATTGTAGCTAGCATGAAGCGAGACTGGATGCAGGCTAGCATATTTTTCTCCTTCCTTCTTTAGGTTCTTTTTTGTGATTGTAATAACTTGACTTATGTTGCAGACTGGGAGGAAACCAAGTGGATTGTGTGGTGCAGCACTATATATCGCTGCTCTCTCTCATGGATATGATTATACCAAGGCAGATATTGTAAGCCCAAGTACTTTTGTCTGATATACTTATTTAGAATTGTATTCTGAAGTCTTATGCCCTCCTTCTGTATCAGTTAGCATGTATCGGGCACATGCTACATTTTGTATTTTTTATAATTGGACATGAATATGATTCTATGCTACAGCATATAATGACATAAATTTCTGTTTTATGTTTTTTAGGTTGCTGTTGTGCATGTTTGCGAGGCAACACTAACTAAGCGCTTGATAGAGTTTGAAAATACAGATTCGGGTAGCTTAACGGTATGGATTCTCTCTCCAGGAAATTGCCAAATTCATAGGCGCTGTTACTTACCGCATACAGATGAAAATTTGTTGCAACGATGTATTTGTAATAAAGATGGGAATGACAGCGCTAAGTTGATTGTTGGTACAACTTTTCCCTCTGAAAGTCATTCTTAAGCTGTCTATGCTGAAACATATTGTAATTACTATCAGTGTATGGTGTCTGTTATGGTGCAAGTATTTGACATTACTCATGACACTAAAGCAACTATTGACCTAAGCAAGTACTGATTAGGGCAGGGCAGCCCATGTCAACTAGACATGCATTCACTTTCTTTACCCTGTCCATAGAGCTAGTTTTAGGTGCTTATTTTTACCCGTTGGTTCAGCATGGTCTATCTGGCAAAAAAATTGGGTATTGCCCCCTTTCATGTCTGTTTTTTCATGTCATCAATTCATCATCCACAACTGTTATCTACTACTCCCTCCGTCCCAGAATATAAGAAGTTTTAGGGTTGAACACGGTTATTAAGAAAGTAGGTAGAAGTGAGTGGTGGAGGGTTGTGATTGGATGAGTAGTGAAGGTAGGTGGGAAAAGTGAATGGTGGAGGGTTGTGATTGGTTGGGAAGAGAATGTTGGTGGAGAAGTTGTCATATTTTGGGACGGAGGGAGTATATGAATATTCTTTAAGCAAATGAAATAGTATTATGCTAGATTGTAAACGAAAATGGTCCTTGAGGTGTAAATGTGTCATTGTGAAGCCCATTAGGGGTCCATGCAATGGGCGAAGGATGCTGCCTCTGCCCACTACTGCCTAAGCACTGTTCATGGTGCCTTGTGCTAGTTTTATTTAGTTTAAAAATAAGATGAGATTGAATTATTTATCGGTTTGTTTCCTTAGTTTTAGAGCAAAGGGCAAAGGGTTTTTGCCTCTATCATGCACAGTACATCAGGATTAGGATTAGAGGTGTCTTCATTTCATACTTAAGTGATTGGACACATTTCCAGCTCGCATTCAACGTATTGTATCCATGCCAATTTGCATTTGATTAAACATTATATTTTGCTGCCCTCTTGCTAGATTGAAGAATTTTTGGCAAAGGCTGATGAACAAGTGCTTGTTACTAAAATTTCACCAAAGTCTGGAGAAGTACTTTGCAAGCACAAGGATAAAGCTGAGCATTTTGCTCATGGACTCTGTGAAAAATGCTACAACAAAGTAACAGACCTTTACCATGTTCATAATACATCAGTTTTGGGACTTCATTACTCCTGACACATGCATGACTGTTCAGTTTATGAAACTGTCTGGTGGACTGGAGGGTGGCTCTGATCCTCCAGCTTTCCAACGAGCTGAAAAACAAAGGTTGGAGGCTGCTAAAAATGCTAAAGGAACTGCTGCATCTAAAGAGGCAGCACTGGAATCAGTTTGTGAGGCACGCGAATCTGATGTTGAGAATAACATTACGACACCGCCAAAGGTAATATGTTCTTAACATAGTTAAGCTCATGCTTGTTCCCCTATTTACCATACATTCTTCCTTTGTTAGCCAACTAAATAATGTGCTCTTTTAGTTCATTAACAAGGGCAGAAAAAGGTGACTTTTGATCATCTAGATCCTGTACAAGTACAACAGTTTTGTTATATGAATATGTTGCATTCTCATGCACCACGTATATGAGTATAAATTTACACGAAACTGTATATAGGTCCCGTTTGGAAGTGGCAATCAGTAATAATCCGCCCTGGATTATTTGTTCCATGCACCTAAATTATGATTTTTTGAAAAACTCTCTTATATTGCCTTGCTTAGACAACTTGTTCCTAGCTACTACTCCATCTGTCCACAAATATAAGGGATTTTGGGTTTCTCCATTTGTCCACAAATATAAGAGATTCTGGAGTACTTTCCCAATCCATTGAACCATTGCATTTGTTTCTCACTGGTAGTTGCATCATTAGATGAAATCTTTCCCAATCAAATAAAGTCCCGAGAGCATCAAAGTAATTCCACCTTATGTCACGAGCTCCAGGAAGAGACTGGATTGGATATGTGTGGGATGTGGGCGGACGTGGTTTCGGGAGATTGGACGTGCGATGCCCCGTGATGGCGACGCTAGAAGAACGAGATGAGAAAACAGAGAAAGTAGATGAGAAGAGTAGATTGAATTCAAGCTTGATCTTTATTGAATGAAAGATTGCTTATATAAGCTTATATGCAACTGAATTGCTAATTAAAAGAGATAAGAACTAATGCAACAAACCGGAACCAACTAAACAAACTCGAGATAAGATCCTATTGCCAAGCCGTACTGTAGCGCGTCCGAATCACGCCATTCATGCTGCCGTTGCGCGATCTGATTGATCGCCCTCATCACGCGCCGCCGTTCCCGTGCATCCCGCATTCATACGCCTCCGATGATATCCAATTCTGACCATGATACCTTAACCTTAAACTCTGCTAAAAAAAACCTAGCATACTTATATATTTTCGAACTGAAGGAGTATTTGTTAAGTTTATTTCTCAAAATATTAATTTACCGTGTTAATCAAGTAGATCATCCATTTCATTTCACCCGTGTTTCATCACTTTCAAATGGGGCCTTATTTTGACAAAACTATAGTTTTAAGACACAATACCACAAAGCTAGTATCTATTTAGCATTGAATTTATAAAAAGAACTACATATTTATGTTCTACTATAAAAAAAACTTCAGATTTAGCATCTCATCACAAAGCTATGGATTTATAAGTTCTATTAGGACAACAGTGTGAGGATCTAACTCATAAAATCTATATATCTTTTATGGTCTATTTAGTTCTATGATCTGTGGTTTAATCTGCAGTTTTGTTATAATTTTGTGAAATTTCTGAATTTGTGATTTTTTTTCTCTATTTATTAAAACATCTGCATTTGTTATTTCTGTTGTATACCATATAATGTGTTTTTGTAATTTGAATACTCAATTTAACTTATTTTGACAGAATATAATTGGAGATAAGCATTCGACAATTCCTTCTGTGAAAGTTGCTGGTGATTCTGTAGCTACAGAAGATCCTGAAGGGGAAGGTTTGTTTGTTGCTGTACCATCAACGATGATACTCCACAAGAAAATTCATATTTCCATTTTAGGTCCCTTTTGATAAGTTCATTCCTGCTGCATGCATATTTCATCCTTAGGTAAAAATGATAAAGCAGATGAAGGTCCTGAAAGTCTCTCTGATATTGATGATGCGGAGGTACTTCATCCTATCCATGAGATCACTTCTATATATTTCATAGAGTAACTTATTTATGTCATCTTTAGATCTTGAAAGATAATCAGTTAGGCTCTTTATGATTTACTACAGTGCTACTATTAATTTCTAGGTTGATGGGTACCTTCACAACGAGGAAGAAACACAGTACAAAAAAATTATCTGGGAGGAAATGAATAAAGAGTACCTTGAGGTAGCTAAGCTGATTACATAGTAGCATAAGGACTTTCTTATTTTAACCACATAGTGTGGTTCTCAGCTGGTTGCTTTACAGGAACAAGCAGCAAAAGCAGCATTAGCAGCTGAGCTGGCAGCTAGAGGAGTGGTTGTGGAAGAGGGGAAGAGGAAAGTATGAAATGTTTCTAGTGCTACCAACCTTTCTATGCCGTGTGTTCACTGTAGTTCGTGATTAAGCATGGATATTTCATATGTAGAGAAGAAGACATAATGAAGATGGCAAGAACGCAACACCCGCTCAAACACCAGCAGAAGCAACACAGAACATGTTGAAGCGGAAGGTACTAATGGTCAATACACCCCGATGCTTTGTAAGGTTTTTCATTTACTTTTGATGGAGAATAGGAGAGGCTCCACTACATATTAATTTCATATAAGGGAGTTATTTGTAAGCAGTAAAGAATCAGAAGATGATTAGTGCATTTTAATTATACTTCGAATCATAGTTTCACAAGATAGTTTATAGGATAAGTGCATGGCTTTATTCATATCCATAGTATGCCTACTCATGAGACTGTCATGTGGTCCCTGCGCTCAGATGTTCCTTGGCATGTTATAGAAAATGGTTGAAACTTGAAACTGAATGGTTTTAAATTACAATACATCAATACATGGTTAGTCCAAACATGAAAAATTGCAGATTTTATTTTAAATTAGATTTTTTGCTTCCAGCATGACATGCTCTTTAAATGGTCTAAAGAGAAATCTACATTAAACACCTACGGAATGTTCATCTCCACCTTCTTTTGGTGCTTTCCATGTTGTATTAATTAGATCTAATCATGTGCAACAAAATCCAACATTGGTTCTCCAACAATGAAAAAGGAGGGGCAGATGTGCCAATGTTTGTGGTGTTGGTAGGTGAAACTAAACACCTACGGAATGTTCATCTCCACCTTCTTTTGGTGCTTTCCATGTTGTATTAATTAGATCTAATCATGTGCAACAAAATCCAACATTGGTTCTCCAACAATGAAAAAGGAGGGGCAGATGTGCCAATGTTTGTGGTGTTGGTAGGTGAAACAAAGGCCCATAAGAAAGGTATAGAAAACTGTGGACATGTTTGCATCATCTTAATTGGCCCATAAGCGAGGAATTTGCTCCAATAAGCCCATAGCAATTAAGCAGACACCAATTGAATTGAGTAGACACCATATCTTGATTAAGAAAACATGAACACTATTCAGCCCTAAAATTCCTGAGTCTCATATATTTTTCGTACCGCCCACCAAATGCCATTTTCCACATAATCCGTCGGTTTTCTAGTCGTCTACTTTTAGCATTTATTCCTTGTTCCCATGGTTTTCCTATTCATGCATTTTCCATCTTCAAAACATATGGACTAGTAGCATATAAATTAACTAAAATCTAACATATAATGTTGTTACTTGCAGAGACTTGGATCGAAGATCAATGATGAAGCTGTTAACAAACTGTACAATGTATGTTCTCTCGTTTTTTTTCTTTTTACCCACTGGTTTTATAAAATATTTGCTGCTGTGAGTTGAATTGACTATTCTGTTATGCGCTGTGATATTGTCACTATATCCAGAACAGGAATGAAACAACCATGCCACAAGTAGTGTGCCAAGGGTTCTGCGGACTTAAGCTGTCTTAGATTCTTTCATTCAGAACAAGATTTGTTAGCTCTTTTAGAATTAGGAATGGGTCGCAGGGCACTAGTCTGGGTCTGCGACCCATTCCTAATTCCCTTAACCCATGAACCCATGACAGATGCGCCTTGCTCTACCTTCTGTGGAATTACAGTCAGATACTACTACTGACTTCATTATGGTCTACTTTGTTATTTTCTGACTGAAAATACATATTGAATTATTGATTTTTGCGGGCAGACCAAAGATGAAGATGGCAAAGCAGATAAAGAGATGGACTTCAACGATGAGTATGGACAGGACACAGGTGATGGTGAAACATTCGAAGGTGGTTATGATTATCCTGATTACAACTATGATGGCTATGGTGATGGAGCCTACGGCGATTATGATGGTGTTGATTTTTAATACCCGATATATCAATGCTGGGTAGAATTGTTACAATTTTATTTGTGTGTGTATGGCAACAATTATCAATTTTACATGAATAGTTCTGATTAGTTGACGAAAACGGAGTTAATCAGTACTCAGTAGACAGTATAGCAGTGTAGCTCGTTGATTTCTCTGGTGATATGTTGAGAAGCTGTTGTAGTAACTGTATTATTTCATTCAGCGACCTATACTTGCAAGTTGTATATTAAAACAGGCCTCGAAGAAAAAGGAAAATTTTGAATGCCTCATGAGGTATCATGGTCTACACATTCGACAGGAGTGGTGTGCATGTCGTCATTTGCGTGAAATGTTGACTTAAGCTGTCCTGATTGGCGAGCACGTCTAGTTTTGAGTTGCAGTGCACAGTTCTTTTTTTCTTTAATGCAGCGTTGAATGTTTGTTTGCTGTTGTTGATGTAGTCTGATGGTGATGAAAGTAGTGTGCACTTCGTCGTTTGCGTGGCTGTGTTCCTTTCTTCAGCTTTAAACTGTAACTTTCTTGTTTTCTAGCACGTTTTGTAAAGTGTTTTTTGCAAATAACTTTTTATATAGAAGTTTCTTTCGATGATTAGGGCTATTACCTTACTAGTGGTCTGAACCAGTATAATCTATGTCTTCTATGTGTTTGATGTCGTATCGTGTAAATCATCGAATCAACGTACCTCAATACCTTCATAATACGGTCCGTGGGTATCCCTCATCGATAACTGTTCATCGTCTTCCTTAGCCGAAGGCGAGAAACAAAAGAGGGAAAGTCTTCCTCAGCCGAAGGCGAGAAACAAAAGAGGGGAAAGATGGGCACGGTGCTTTGGGTTTACGACTTCACGAGTTGTTGTCGCCGGCAAAATCTTGGTGAGAGAGAAGGGGAGAGTGGTGGAGAACGGTCATGTGGAGTGGGGTTGACGACATCATGAGTTGTCGTCGCTCGGTGCAGCTAGATGAGGTTGGTTTTGCTGGATTCGGCCTCTTCCTCCTCTCTACTGCTTGGATTTGGTCTTATTTGGTCCACCTTGTAGCTCCCGACCTCTCGCGCACAAACCATCAGTGAGGATGCTGCCACCTCAACCGGCCCACTCGTGTTGGCAGCCGGGCACCTCTTCCATCCATAAAGTTTACTGAGAAATTAAAGTTCCCCACCTTTTCCAGGGCGATGCGTGCGAACGAATTCGTAGGCGGACCACGGACGTGAACGCGTGGGAACCGTAGGCGGACGAAAACACAAACGCGCTCCTGAATCGGATGTGTGCAGTGGCCAACGGTGCAAAAGCGAAAACTAACGACAAGGGCAAGCATGAGAGTCAGATGACGTACAAAGAAATAACGCAGTTTCCTTTGCATCACCCGATCCAACGGTTACTCGTATGACGAACAAAGAGGACGGAAGAAGAGGGTGCGAGTACAGAATCATCTCTAATTTTTATAATAGGTAAAGAAAAGATAAATATTAGGAAAGGGGGTGAAAATTAGATCGAATGGAATATTCAGTTTTTGTTAGCAATAAATAAATAAATAAATAAATTCCTCAATAAGAAGGAAGGGGGTTTCTCTTTTCTTTGCTGCGTGCGTTCCTCTCCTCAGGTGGTGACCCGGTCTCCCCTTGCCTCCTTCGGCCACCCTCTCCTCCTCTCCTCTCCTCTCCTCGTCGCCCTTCCATCAAAGCGAGAGATCGACCGACTCCTTTCCCTCCGCCGCCGACTCCCCCAGGTGAGCGATCCTTTCCTCCTCCTCGCGTTGCTCGATCCCCACTCCCTTGTTGTTTCCTACCTGTACTGTATTGCGCGCGGTTCTTGGGGGAAAAAAAATCCTTTCTGATTAATATACAGAATTATTTTAAAACATCAATTAATTCTGTTTTTTCAAGTCTCTCTGGCTCTCGCTCCGGCGTGTGCGGCGCGTGTTAACGCTGATTCTTGGTAAAGATGTTCGTCTTGATTGAGGGCAAGGCGATTGGTCATACTGTAATGGGGGATTAATTATTTGCAATGTGTCCTCTTGGTGCCTGAAACTCTGAATTCTTTAAGCATTGTCATCCTCCTAGTAAATTATATATTCCATCGAAGATAGATAGTAGATTCTAGGACGAATTCGATTTGGACATAGCAATTTTCTGATATATCTAGTAAATTATATATTTAATTCCGAAATGTTGGGTGATACAGGTATTTGCCTTTCACCTTGAGTCGGCCCCAATTTCCAATCTTGATCTTGACTTCCGCATATGAATGTTGCTTGATCTGTATTCGACCTATGCAGGTGCTGTTGATCGCTTTGTGAAATGGAGCTCCCAGTTGCTGATCCTGGGCCGGTGAGGGCTGAAGGATTGCTTCTGCAGTGTCCCTATTGTGATTCAGAGGCAATGCACAAACTCGCGCAGTTCTTGCTCCCCGGCTTGGCTGCGGTATGCATTGACTGCACGACAGGCGATCTCTTCAGGAAGCCATCAGTTGTCGCCGTTGACATGAGGAAGGAAATGGTGGACTACGTCACGCAGAGAAGCGAGACATTCATATCCGATTCGCTTATCGAATCAGAAGCAAGTCAGGATCAAGAGAACGAGATGCCGGAGGACCCTTTTGAGATCGTGTCCATCTTCATGGATGATTTTAGTAGCACGAAGAGGAACATTATCGGCCATGTCTCTGGGTGGTTGATGAGCGACAGCCGCGAAGATAAGATTGATGACTTTGTCCAAGAAATGGAGATGACCCGCTTCTGGCCGCTGGAAAGGAGAGAAATTATTGCTGAGGTCCTCCTCAAGAATGTAGACCTGAAAACCAAGTACCACTGCCCTGAGAAATATGAAAATGAAGAACGTCTCGCTGATCATAAGGCCCAGTGTAGCTTCAGACCTGTTACCTGCCCCAATGATGGATGCCGAGCGAAAGTTTCTGTTCGCTGCATGCAAGACCATGATTCAGCTTGCCTGTTTAAAATCCTTACATGTGAGCAGAACTGTGAGAAGCGGCTTCTGAGGCGTGATATGGATAGGCACTGCGTGACTGTGTGCCCCATGAGGCCCATGAAATGCCCTTTTGGCTGTGATTCCTCCTTTCCTGAGCGTAATCTTGAGCAGCACTGTTCTGAGTTTCTTCAGGCACACCTCCATAAACTCCTCAAGGCTATTCATAAGAAAGGTTTTACAGATGAGGGGCTCAAGGACCATGCTCTACTGCTGGAAAAGGTTAGGCTCCTGATCTTGTTAATTTACAATGTGTAACATACGCTTTTCAATTAAAATGGCTGCCTTATTTTCTTGATTTGGAAACATTGCTGTCAAACTATTGTGAAAAAGAAGACATACATGGACTGCAGCAATATGATTTACTGAAATAATCTGGTTTTGTTCTGCAGCATGACAATGATGGTAAACTGGCTAAATCTCGGGATGTAAGATCTCTTACTAATGTTGTAAAGAATCTTGAAGCCAAAATAAAAGATGATTCGAGTTAGAGTGGATGGCGTCTCCAGAGCAAAATGCAAGTTTTTTTTGAGGCAGCAAAATGCAGCATGGATATTGAATGGTATAGCTGAAGAGTTGTTTCCACTCACAGTATACACAGAAGAGTACAAGATTCTGCACGTTTTTCCTTTACAACTATAATTTTCCCCTCATGATTTTTCTTTTCTCAAAATCGGTTAGTTTTTTATGGTGTAAAAGTATAACATTATTTTATCCTTGCTATTTTGTCCAAGGAACTCTTTTTTTTCATATAAATTGAGAATAATTTATCAGGAATGCTAATTTTTGTTTAATTTATGGAAGGGCGATGCTTGAAGTAAGGGATGTTTTTCCCAGTCTAATTCCGTTCCCTGTACCAGCTAAATACTCCCTCCGTCCCAAAAAAAGACAAACCCTGGTTTCCGTGCCCAACATTTGACCGTCCGTCTTATTTGAAAAAATTATAAAAAAAATTAAAAAGACAAGTCACGCACAAAGTATTAATCATGTTTTATCATCTAACAACAATAAAAATACGAATTATAAAAAAATTTCATATAAGACGGACAGTCAAAGTTGGACACGGAAACTCAGGGTTTGCCTTTTTTTGGGACGGAGGCCCACTAGCTGAAGTTAAATGCTATTCCTCACAATGTTATTATTTGTTTTTTGGAAACTTTTTTTTTCAATGATCCAGATCAAGGTTAGGAACACTAGCATTTATCGGTAAACTGTTGGAATAGTTTAAATTCAAATTTTGTTTTTCGATTTACACTTAGTACCGTTTACATGCCCTCACATGTATAATGCCCATTGATAGGATATCTCCACCTCCTACAAGTTGTGTCGTTTTCATTTATCATGGATTCGTGTATGATGTTTATTTCAATGTATAAATTATTACAAGAATGTCAAACATCTTTTTTTTCAACTAGTCCCTGATCGGTAACCATTATTCAAATTCTTTTTTTTTTTGCTGGGAAAACCGTTATTCAAATTCTAATATTCGATTTAGATTTACAGTAAAATCTATTCCCTCTATTTCATATTATAAGTTATTTTGAATTTTTTCTAGCCAAATTTATTTAGGTTTGACAGTTTATTAAAAAAATTAGTTCGGTTAAATGTAACATTGAATATGTTTTTTTTCCAAATGTTGCTATATTCTTTTATTAATTTGATCAAACTTAAAAAAGTTTGACTAGGAAAAAAAATCAAGCAACTTAAAGTCTTTTTTATATGAGGGGAAAAAAGAGAATTGAAAAGATACGCAAAACAAGGTGAGCTTTAGCGAACGATTAATTGAGTATTAATTATTTTAGATTTTAAAAAATAGATTAATATGATATTTTAAAGCAATTTTTCTATAGATTTTTTTTATAAAATAAACATCATTTAGTACTTTAGAAAATATGCGCGTAAAATACGAGGGAGTTTTTCTGTATCTACCGAATCAATTTCTCTCAATCAGTTTTATGATATGAAACAGAGGGAGTAGATCGCTAATTACTGGTCAGGCTTGGGTGACTGGTACTTTTTGCAAATACTGGTTTCCTAGGTTTTATCCTAACAAATAATCTGGCGATATTTTACGGTGTTTGCATTTTAAAAAGGGTAAAAGTCTATCGCTGCACAATGAAAGGTACCACTTAAAAGGTTGATATAGTTACTTACTCCCTCCGTCCCACGAAAATCCAATCCTAGCATCCCAAGATAGAATTAGTGGAGGATAGAAATGACTAAAATGCCCTTAATCATTGAAAAAAAGTAGTAAGAGTAATAATAGGTAGGTAAAGGGTATTAAAGGGAGTTTTATCTCTAAAGAGTAGGTAGGATGGTAGGATGGTAGAAGTTGGTTTTTTTATGGGACAAAATTCAAACTCTAGAAGTTGAGTTTTTTTTTTGACGGAGGAAGTAGGCGGTAAAAGTAAAATGATAATTTTCGTAGGAGATAGAGAATGGCATAATTGTTTTCGATATTAGTTCCAGGTACATAGGTGCATACAATGCCTCACTAACTGTGTGCCCGGTAATTTACATGACATGTTTTTTAGATTTACATTTTTTCCTACGAATATGGTCACGCAGTAATCCTCTAGATTTTCATTTTGTTTTAGGAGCACGATTGGTTAAAATATGATCGAATGTTTGCCAGGTTATTTTGATATTTACATTTTATCACAAAGAACATCTAACCTTGGTAAAAAGATCAGTGGTTAGTAGGTTCATGTGTAATTCATCCTCAATACGATATATTTATATTGTTTCCACGTGTTTGCGTCATCTCCCCGATGAAATTTAACTAAAATGTCTTAAGCAATTAAATAGCTTATTTCCTTACAGTTATTTTGTAATGTATCGGGTAAAATGGAAATCACATGCATGCTTGGATAGCATGTATTGTTGCCATTGAAAATTAACTACCTCTTTGATTTTAGGATTTATGGATTTAGAATAAGGTATTCGGATATATGGATCAACGTGCGCCTAATCTACAGATTTGCGAACTAATCATCTATATAACCAAGCATAAGGAAGATAAGTACCGATTCTTTTTTAATACGTACCGGTTCAATCAAGAAAGATATTCACATCAAACAAAATTACCGTTGTTTTACTAGTTACTTACCCTACTGCAATTGGTTATAATAATTTTATTTCACATCTTGCCCTTGCCTTTCTCTTAGATCAACGATCCACATTGCACCACCTCTCAGTACCTCTACATATCTCACAAACTCCGTAAAAGATCTTAATAAACTTAGATGAATGTGAGGCCATAGGCCACACGTTTTCCTTCATATCCCCGAAAACTATATCGTATCATGTAACAAATAGTCTATAACAGCTAACTATGCGTCCAAACAAAACTACAGCATATGCATAGCAACTCGTTGGTATCAAAGGTACCAGGAGGTAAAAAATTTATACTAAAAAAATTATATTACCTTTATGGACGTGACTACACAGCTAGTAGCTAGTGGTAGTTAGTTTGTCTAAACCAGCTACCACTCCATTTATGAGAGACATTATCCACATATACTTCAAATACAATTTTCTCTTAAACTACTTATCCGATTTACGATCCGATTGCACCGTTATGTTTGTAACAATTAAATCTTTATAACAAGATCTCACATGATTATATTCTAATAAAAAAATATAAATTACTTTTATAATATATCTAAATTACTTTTAGATTTCACTAAATTACTTCTTAACATGTAAAAGTAAATTAAATGAAGTCTAAAAGTAATTTACATATGTTACAGAAGTAACTTGTAACAAAAAGAAAGTAACTTTAATGAATGTGTCGACGGAGGATACCCGTAGACTGGATATAGAGGGTATTGTCGACGGGGGATACCCATAGACCGGATATAGAGGGTATTGGGGTCTGTTGGTACGAGGATCTACATAGTACGACATCAAGCAAACAAAAGACAAGGATTATACTGGTTCACGCCCCTTAGCAGGTAATAGCCCTAATCCAGTTGGTATGGGATTATATGATGGAAACCACAGATTACAAAGGGAATAGAACTCGGTGATATCGACGAGACCGTAGTCGAGTTGGCCCGACTAGATCTCCTAGTGACTTGGCTCTTGTAAGCTCCGGCTTCGTAGGCTGTGGTGGGTGTGTTGGCGGTGAGATTCGATGCCATAGATCCTGCCAGGGGGTCCCTTTTATACCGCGGTTCAGTCGATCTCCAAGTAGAACTTGGAGATATCGGACCCCTCACGATATGGTAAAGACCCAGTCTCGTCCGAGTAGGACTCTTTCCATCCGTAGATTCTGTTCCTATCATGGGATAGATTTCCTTAATGTATACGGAAACTATTCGTACACGCGCGGGTATACTGTATCGGTACCCATCGTATATCCAAGGATAGAGGGCATACCTTATCCGTAACCCTGACATTTAATTGGATGTGACTACACAGCTAGTGGTAGCTAGTTTGTACTCCATCTAGTATCTCCTTTCAACTTAAAAAATACAACAGTATCTTCTTTTCTCATTCTACATGAAAAACAAAAATGAAAGGGAAAAAACAATCGATGATTAAACAGATTCATAGAGAGTTACTTTTGAACCATGCAAAAGTTACTTCCAATTAACATTGAAGTTACTTTTAAAAATTGTTAAACTTATGTGTGTTGATCCATGCTGATTAAATTTAATTTCTAGATAAAGTCATATTTTTATCCCTACAACGAATTTACTCCTATTGTCGTGACAAAATTACTGCCGTTTTGTTTTAAGTTACTTTTATAATATAATATATGTAAATTACTTTTAGACTATTAAATTTACTTTTATATGTCTAAGAAGTAATTTAATCAACTCTAAAAGTACCTTATATATATATATATGATAAAAGTAACTTACATATAAAATGAAAGTAATTTACAAATATAAATATTTTTTTCATCGTAATATAATCATGTAAGATCTTGTTGTGAAGATTTAATTGTAACAAACACAATTATATAATCGAATTATAGATTGGATAAGTAATTTGGGAGAAAACTTTGTTTGAAGAGAAAAAGGACGTACATGTATATTAAAAAAATGCATGCATGTAGTACTATGTAGTAGCTAGACTTCTCCACGTAGGCGTCGCTAGTTAAGACAAAATCGAGAGGCCTCTCCAAATAGATTTTATGTACCTTTATACTTCCTCCATCTATTTTTGATAGTCATTTTTTTTAAATCTGAAAAATTTATTTTTGATAGTCATATTTCAATCCAACAACATATACTCTTAATGACTTTCTCGGATTTAATGTATGTCTCACTATTCTTCCACATATGATTGGCTACATGGCCATTGAGAAATATAAATATTAATGAATCGTTTGTTTACGAGGAATGACTAGTAGCATGTTTAAATGGATGATAAGTAGAATTACTTATCCTTGTTCTGTGTGACAAGATGAAATATGACTATCAAAAGTAGATGGAGGAAGTATTTGCTCTAATAACCTCTCGATACCTCCTATTGACCATAAAAATCCCTATAAAGAAACTTTTACTACAAACACTGGAAAACTTGAATCTTTCTTGCGGTAAAGACATTGATTGTAGTATGTTAGTACCATCCAAGTCTAGAACGCCACTGATTCTAAAACAATTTCATGTACGTCCAAAATATATAAGTAAAACGAAATATGAAAAACACCTTATGCATGTTGTACACGCCTCTGAAATCATCCAACTATGCGTTGTAACCACCTTATACTCGATGTTATATTGTAACCTTCCTCACTGAAATGTCTTCAACACCTCGAAATTCTGAAAAACAATTCTATATTGACATTTGCCAACATGTCAATTTAAGGTTTACACAAACACATGATTTTCTACGTAAAGTGGCACACGGATTAAATAAATAACCAGGAAAATTCATATTAGTTTGGAGTATGTTTCCTAGAATGATTTACAATAAAAATCGGTTGACAACTTGTTTTTCTTAAAACCCATCCAACAACGGGTTAGAGAACCTTCATGCACCAGAATTTTGGCATTATCATCACCAACTTTAAATACAGAAGCAACTTGTCACGCAGACTCTTGACAAGTTCACTTGAGTCGGCATCAATTTTGTGTCATGTTTTAGGATCAATTCTGAACATCAGATCAGAGGTGTACTTTCCAGTTGAAATTCTACAGTAACAGAAGTTGTCTGCACTACACTGGAAACACCATTGCTACTGCTGTAGTGATTTACTACAATTAACTGTAGCACAAGACTCATTTCAGTATTGATGCACCTCTGCAGTAAGGATCAGTTTCCGTTGACACTGCTTCCTCTTTTTTTCCCTCAAAAACGCATGAGAGCATTGCTCCCATTTTTATCAAGGTAATAAGCTGCATATGGTGTCACTTCAGCTAACAAGACCAACCTTTGCAGATCAACCAGTCCAATTAATCAGGAAATGGGCCATGCTAACATTGAAGTCCAAAAAAATCTCATATGACTGCCTGCTACATCATCTCAATGGCTAATGATCATCTTGTTCTGCTAACACTACAGATATAAATTAAGTGAAAAGATTCAGGACTGAATTTTACAGCTGCAGAGGGGCACTTGTATGTCTTACCAGCCAGGGTCAGATGCCTCCCAGCTGCCATCCCATGGATAACTGCTAGAAAATAAAATGTACAACTCTGATTCCTTATCCGTTTGTGCTACAAATAGATGTCAAGTCAAAGGAGTAAAATTATAAACACATAACCATGGAAAAATCAGGGGAAAACACAGCAGTCCAACAGGAAAAAAAAATGAGTTTAACTACAGCCCTCAGAACAAACAATGGCACAAGATATGATGGAAATATAGAGGCAACACATGGTCTTCAGGAGAAGTTAAGTGCAGTTCAACCCAGGGTATAAATGATCCACATATTTCTCATAATATAAAAACTAAACAGGAATAACATAGCTCCTGAAGAAAACGATTTCAGAATTTCAGGCTATCTGAACAGTATAGGATATAGTAAAATCTCATCGATCACCAAAAAATCCAAATAAAGCAATAGCAGATATTCTCATGGATAGTGGTAATCTTGGACAAATTTGAAGATCATTACAGCATGACTCCAAGCATATATACACAAAGAGACATGCACAGAACACAGAAGATCCAGGATATTATATTCTAACTCAGAACACACATAGTTTGTCTAACTAAAGAAAGCATCAACGGATTAGATAGACACACTAGTGAGAGGTTTCTGATGTCAAAGGGTGGTTCACTGAACTTTACAATCTGCAATCAACTGTAGAACGAAATTGCTAGAATTAATCTCTTCTACATTTGAACATACCTGGCATCAAGTGTGACATGTGCAGTAGTATAGCCCTTCATGGAATCCAAATAGAAAAACACTAAAAAGGGGAAGAGCTTAGACATAGTCAATCAAGAGGATAAGGCCATTGGATTGTGAATGTGATTCATCCATGCAAACAAGATTTGCTATGGTCAGTACTCAGTAAACACTAAACAATATGGAAATAATGTAGGCTAAGCAAGTTGTTAACATTGTGAAGACGTGTGACATCCAAAACCTGAAAAATCATGATGGATTTAAGGCAACAGGAATATATGCTTTACAGATAATCTGACAGCATGCTTTATGAACATTCGAAATACAACATCACCAGTGGCGGATTCACTGTTGGGGCTGGTTGGTGTGCCAGCCCCACCTCTAATCCCTGCTCTTAATTAGTCATTAACAAATCTAATTAGTCATTAGTGAAGAAATTTCCCGAATAGCACAGGCTACCTTAGTTCTTCTACTGCCCAAACTGATAAAACAGAACATCCTCCGAGTATAAATAACAATATATTCACATATATTTGTGAATATTTTAATATAGCCACAAATCAAAATAGAGAGTTTTTTTTATCATATGCACATTTGGTTTTCATTGGAAAATACTTTAGTTGATATACCTTTATTTGTTTTAATCATACTCCCTCCATCCCTAAATATTTGATGCCGTTGACTTTTTTAAATATGTTTGACCGTTCGTCTTATTAAAAATTTTAAGTAATTATTAATTCTTTTCCTATCATTTGATTCATTGTTAAATATACTTTTATGTATACATATAGTTTTATATGTTTCACAAAAGTTTTTAATAAGATGAACGGTCAAACATGTTTAAAAAAGTCAACGGTGTCAAATATTTAAGGACGGAGGGAGTATTATATTTTTTACACTAGCACCTCCTCAATTTACACCCTGGATTCGCCACTGAACATCACTGAAACTATAGTCTTATGTTATGTCCAAAGCATTTTGTGGATTCAACAAACATCACATTTGTGAGGCATCTAGTCAAATATTTTTTAAAACTTCAAAATCATGTGCATAGAAAATATGAGTTTTCAGATACTGACAGTTGCTGAAAGGAGAAGCACTCTAATCAAGAATAAATTTAACAATCAGTCTAGCGCTGGCAAGGGGACAAAGAAAACGGAATCCATGCGAGGATAGTAATGGGACTGGGTTCGCCCAGGGAGATGGCTAGAGAGTAGGCAGAATTTTCTGGGAGCAAAGTCATTAAAAAGACTTTGTTAAACGCATTAAATTGATGGACTTCTGATCAAATCACGAATGGCCATGATGTCCTGTATCATCCAGCAATCATATATCAGAAAATTTTAAATTGATGCCTTTAAAGCACAAATTATTTGTTTTGGGGAGATTTGGAGGTAAGGATCCAACTTCAAATATGAGGTGTTTGATCAAATCAAGCGCTAGCTAGGACTACTTGTATCAACGCTCCATGTATAGCCAAACTGATGCTGGTGCTGTTATAATAAAGTATAGATACACATCTAAATTTTGGTCAAAAAATTGGAATATCCATGATGGCATGATGTTCATGTTGCTATTTACACGTCAAACAGTAGTGTTGCATGGATCTCTTCACTTCTGGCATATCAGGAAGCATGTGCAGTAACTAAACAAGTTGATGAATACAAAACACAGAACTATTTATAATTGCAATTCCCAAGCTGATAAGATCAAATTGGTGAAAATTTGCAATTGCTTTTATTTACAATCAATGAAGTTTACTAAGAACTTATGTATATCTGTAAGGAATCAGTAACACAATTTCTAAAGTGCTGCAGAACAGAAGCAGGTGAATCTGAATTGAACAGTACGCAGGTGACTTTCTTCACCTCAATATTAGACAAACAATCGTTACTTTATTGTCTAAGCAATTCTAAGAAAATTATATCGCAAAAAGGTCCAAATTTGGCATATAGTAACGCAGTGAAATAATTTCCCATCCTGATAAAGATTATTGATTAGTTTCCATACCTGCAAAGGCTTCCTATGCTTGCAGTGCATGCATTTGTCAGGAGGCACCAACAAGGACAGCTACTGATCTTTGAAAGAGCTAGCTACATAGCTACATATGTCAGATGGTACAAGAAGCAACCACAATTAGATTGACATGCAAAATTCGATTAGGACCAAAAGAGTTTACAAATACCAAACCTGTACTGCAACAGATCTGAAAGCTACAATATTACTCCAGAAAAAGCAGAATAATATAAATATCTGTCTCCAATTCTCCATGAAATACAAAGAAGTGCTTGAAATGTTTGCAGCATATATGACATATTTTTATTCCATATATAACATATTTGCTATTCCATATATGATATATTTGTAATTCCAAACGATAGATAAGCCAGCTCTTTCCATACCTAATCAGAAACTAATACACAAAGGTAGTTAGCAAACTGAGTAACTGGTTTTGGAGAATACAATGGCCAGCCGGCACTGAGCAGCCATATTTCTAAGGCGTTGTTCGTTTAATCCCCAAGAGAGAGGGATTGGAAGGGAATAAATCTCCTTCAAATCCACCCATAAGAGGGATTAAACGAACAAGGCCTAAAGGGGTTTCATGTATGTAGGTGTAGAACCCATAGGGCCCATGAGTTATATATACTACCGCCATCCTTAAAAGGATGACATCATAAAATGCATGCGGTCAAACCTCAAAATGTTAAACGATTAATATATGGAAAACATATTAGGATTTGAATATGAAAATATATATTAGTAGATTTGCTATGAAAAACTATTTTATATAGTTATACTTTTATTAAGTTTTATAAATACATAGTTTGAAAAATTAATGATCGAACATGTGCATGGAAGACTGACGATATCCAAAATATAAGTAAAAAAGAATGGAGGTAATAATATGGTGGTATAAGTCTCACACTCTTACATGATGAGTTTAATAAATAGGTTAAGGCCAGAGTATAAAATTAACAGTTCCAAAAAAATAACTCCGGTTAATGCAAGTGTAAGTAGGGTAAGGCCTGATAGAAGGGCTAGAGATTAGTGATCAAAGTATTGTCTTGCAAATATATTGTGATAGAAATTGTTATCAAAGTTATATTTAGGAGACCATGTTGATGCCCAAAATGATAAGTTTTCATGGCTAGAGTATAAAGAATCTAGATTACATCAGTATTCCTTACTGTGGGAAAATATCTAGTAATACATTGTTAACTACTTAGTTTATGCTTCTACCTCTGATGCTTTCACAAAAGAAACCCTCACCAATAGCCACCACATGAGCATGAACCATTCTTGAAATGATGAAAACGACTGGGGTCGCGCACTACGATCTCATGGTCCACAATCTTGGAAATGTAGGTGAATGCGCTATGGCAATCACCACATACACGCAGGTTCTTTGTGATCCTTATTGGGCAACCAGGGAAAGTTGTGAGGAGACCATATGCAAGAGCAAGTTTCTCACTGTGCTCAACAAGAAGATTATTTTTCTCTTCCTCATCAACATCATGTAATGCGAAGTTTGTCTCAGGAACATATCCCATAGCTTTGATGCGATCAATTAGACTCTCCAGAAGAGCATAAATTTGTGGGGATAGTGGGTGTGATCGATCTCCGACAAAGAAAGATGCTGTGCCCTTTTGACCCTGGACCCAGCTGCATCCTGGCCTCTTCTTAATTCCTGATTTCTTCATCAAGTGCCTGATCCTCGCTACATCCTTCCACCGCCCTGCAGTGGCATATATGTTGGAGATAAGCGTGTAAGATCCATCATTTTCAGCATTCATCTCGACCAGTTTGTTCAGAGCATGTTCAGCAAGTTCAACATTTGAATGTACTCTACAGGCACTCAGTAATGCAACCCAAACTACTGCGGTGGGCTCCATTGGCATATCCTTAACTGTTTTCCATGCCTTATCTAATCGCCCAAAGCGGGCCAGCAAGTCAATAGCATAGGCATAGTGCTCTGCCCGAGGTGTCAAACCATAATCTGCACTCATGCTGTCAAAGTACGATAGACCTTGATCAACCATTCCACAATGACTACAAGCATAAAGAACAACCAGGAAGGTTATATCGTCAGGAACAAAGCCTGCTTTCCGCATCTTGTCAAATATGTCCAGGGCCTCACTACCACGACCGTGCATTCCATACCCTGTCATCATTGATGTCCAAGAAATAGCACTCTTTTGAGACATGCTATCGAATACATGCCTAGCTGTATCAACATCCCCACACTTTGAGTACATATTAATGAGGCAGTTCGCCACAAAGTATGCAGATGAGTCATATTGGTGATGACGAAGCACATAAGCATGAATCTGCTTACCTATACGTATGGCTGCCAAATGTGCACAGGCCATCAAAATGCACGAAATTGTATAAGCATTTGGGGCTACTCCATATGGTTCCGAAATCATCTCCACGAAAAGCTTGAGGGCATCATTTGAGTCCCCATATTGTGCATGCCCCCCGATCATGACAGTCCAGGTGACAACATTGCGTTCCTCCAGAGGTATATCATCAAATATGGAGCGTGCAGCTTTGAAGCTTCTGCACTTTGAGTACATATCTATTAGCGCGTTGTACACCATAAGATCCTCATCCTCACCACCAAAATCATTATCCAAGGTTAGAAGACAGTTCTTTAGGGAGTAGGCATGAATTTCCATACCCTGAGAAAATGCTCCCAAAGAAGCGCAGGCAGACAACACAGAGATGATTGTGACACAATTTGGCAAGGACCCAGAAAATATCATTTGACGAAATACATTGAGTGCTTCATGGCTGCATCCCCTCTGAGAATAGCCTGCAATTACAGCAGTCCATGTTACCATATCTAATGGGATATTTTCCTTGCGCATGTTCTTGAAAAGCTCAAAGGCTGCCTTAAAGTTGCCACTTTGGGAGTACCCAGCCACCATTGCGTTCCAAGAAACCACATCTTTGAATTCCATCATGTTGAAAACCTTTACCGCATTTTCCATCAAACCACACTTAGCGTAAGCATCAATCAGGGCATTACCAACAAAAACATCTAGAAATGTGCCATTACGAATAGCATTACCATGGACTTCTTTAGTTTGAGGTACTGCCTTTAGAGAACCACATGCAGGGAGTATGTTGACAATGCTAATGATGTCTGACCTTTCATTTGTAGGCTTCTCATGGACAATCAATGTCATCTTTGAAAACAGATCCAATGCAGTCCAAGCATTACTACTTTTAACATGGGCTGAAACAATAGAGTTCCATGAGATAACATCATCAATACCCCTCTGAGTTATTTCATCAAAGATCATGCTGGCTTCCTCCAAAGAACCACAACGGGAATACATTGCCACCAACGCATTACATATGAAGACATTGGACTCAAAGCCATTGCAGCATATCAATCCATGGAATGCACTACCACAACGGTATGAAGGTAGCTCTCCACATGCTTTTAATACATGTGGTAGAGTAAAATGGTCCAGCCTAGTTCCAGCACGCAGCATGCGGCAAGAGACATTAATTGCACTGTCAAGGCGGCCTTGTTTGATGTGTTCTCGGATAAGTAGATTCCACCACACAGCTGGTGACGGTGTAACACGTTCCAACACCAAGAGAGCATAGTCGGTAGCACCACAAGCAAGATAAGAAGCTACGACACCAGTACCCAGAGATCTTGGAGATATAAATGGTTCGGATGGCAATGCTGGCAGTGAGACTGACAATAATGGTGTGGGCAAAGAAAGAAGACCAGAAGCAATTATCTGTTGGTGAATTTGATGAACTGTATTTGCAGACTTGCATTCCTTCAATAGGGATGCAAAGTGACTAGGATAAACATCTACACCAACGCATGCTGCCCTTGCACCTTAAAGGAACCGTACTCCAATTGGTTTTACCGCCTTAGGCAAGTTCAAAAGCATAGCTGCAGTAGAATACCATTATGCATAATGAATCCTCAAAGAAACAGCCATTGCATCACTGTATGACCAAAAATAACTGAATTAGCAAAAGCCATCATACATATTACATCAATCTAATGCAAAACAATGTAATGTAAAGGAAGAATAAGTCAAAGATCACAAAGGGGAATAGGCATGCTATCCATCAGGGTTGCAGAATCAAAGGTAGTTTGTAGTATCCTACCATCCTGTAAAATCCTTCTTATCTGGATTATTGGGGTTTTAACAACCTAACATCATGCAAGATCAATTGTCAACTCCCAGTGACAATATTCATGCCCAAAGCTTGTACTATGTAGCACTAAAGCATTGCGATGCTTACAAATTATCCACCTGAGCATGTGACTGTAAATGTCCATTTCATCATTTCACTTCAAATGTCAATCTCAGGACAACAGTGGAAATACTAGCCCTAGTAGGAAAATTTTGACTATTTATGTGTGATAAGGGGGTATAACATGAAAATAATTTGAGCTGCAACAGATGCACACATAGACATGACTATAGGTTTACCAAATTGTCAGAACGCACGAGAGAATGAGAAAGGAAGAATAATAACAAAGGAGCAACTGTTTGTACCTTTTGTATTCACAAACACTGCAGTTCAAATCAACCATGAGAAGCAACAGTGGAATGATTTTAAATCAACCAGGAATGCAAACTAAATTGTTCTTTATATCATATCAACGCCTCCTAAATCTATGAGGAGTATGTGGAAAAAATTCGAAGTTCAGTACTACAACTAATAAGACAAATCGAAGCCATTGAAGGGTGTCAACTTTTCTCACTATACCATGTCCCATCCATTTTGATTCAATTCTTTGAAAACCTTACAACAACCAGAACACAATGGAAAAAAAAAGATAAAAACATGAATGGTTCCACTTCTTACGATCTAAATCTTGAAGTCCTGGTACAAGTTCCCTTGTTTCAATTTAGAACAACTGAAATCCATTTTTTAAGGAAACCTTTGATAATTGGATTTGCTTGTACTACTCTCTATCTGTGGTCTGTACTATTGATTAACCATAAGCATTTATTTTGAGCAATAAAATCTAAATCTGGCATAATAATTCATAGTAACAGTTTTTCAAAATTAATTGACAACATAAATAATGATTTCATTTTTTTGTTGGGCTTAAGCGGTATATGGCATAACTATCAACACTGGAAGCAGTGGGAGTCGGCAATGTATAATTGCCAAAGAAGAAAACATGAATAAAGGAAAGTAACCATGAAACTTCATCATCCTTCAATTTCTATCAGACACGATTAATTGCCGATGCTGAACCCGTCCCACTACAATGTATAGAGATTTTCTTTAAATACAGTAAGCTATATGTTTCAGTGACAAAAAAAAAGAGAAGAAGATCAAATGGAGCACATGTGGGAGAGCCACCGCCACAGCACCAGCACCAGCACCAGCACCACTGGAGTTGGAGAGGAGCTGGGAGAAGGAAGAGCTTTGTTATTACCTGTCCTCCAGGCGTCCGCGCGCAAGAAGAATACGTCGGAGCCGCAGGCACGGAGGTGGCGGACGACGGAGGGCGCCGACGAGCCGCAACAGGCCAAGGCACAAGGCAGTGGCCGGAAGGCAATGGCGTCGAGCAAGCGAGGGAAGGGCCAGCGGAGCGTCGGGGCGGACGCGCGGAGACCGGGGGAGCGGAGCTGCAGGGCAATGCGGCGGCGGCGGCGTGGCTTGTGACGGAGCCGCCCGGAGTCTGGGTTTTGGAGCGGCCCAATCTGTAGCCACACGTACGGCCCATAATGTTATCACTTCCTGCAACTAGATCGACAAATCTTAATTGATAAAGTCATCATAAACACTTCCAACTATATACGACCATCTAAAGATTAGATTGGGTTGACATTCTATGATTGACGAAGTCACCCAGACATCGACTCATAATAGTCTCACTATATAAAAAGGAGAACTGCTAGACCACGGAATCCAGCTTAGGCCTTGTTCAGCAACAGGGGAGTCATTTCCCCAGGGAGATTCACCCATGGGGGGATAGGGTTAATCCCTGCGTCCTCACCCAATCCCCCCACCCCACGGGGGACAGTTGATCCCTGCGGGCTGCATTCTCACCCAATCCCCTGTAATTTCCCCATGTCTCCCTTGTGCTAATTCACTTGTTTGGTTAAGAGGGTATTTGGCTTGGATTACACATACAACACCAAATTATTACAGAGATCATTCTTAAATTTATTCTAAACTACAAAAATTCGAAAAAATAAAATATTTTTTTAAAAAAATGACAAAGTAGAAAACCATGAAATGACAACAGAAATTCAAGGAACTTCAAAAATATGGCCCAAAAATCTGAAAATATTCCAAAATGTTCACAAAATAATTATAAAATTCTAGTAAAATATGCTGAGTAGAATTATAAAATTTTAGATGGTTATATAATTATTTTATAATTATAAAACATCATTTACTCATGGGAGCAATTGCGCGATGTCTTTGTCCTTAACTTTCGAGGCACCTACGAGGAGCCGAAGACACAGCAGCATCTACTAGGCATTCGCCAGAGGCCGGGGAAATCGATAAGGGGGTACATGCGTCGCTTCTCGCAAACCCGGTGTCAAGTACAAGACATAATCGAGGCGTCTGTCATCAACGCCGCTTCGCCTGAGCTACTCGAGGGCGAACTCACAAGAAAAATCGCCAACAAAGAGCCGCAGACGCTTGAACACCTGCTTCGCATCATTGACGGGTATGCAAGGGGTGAAGAGGATTCCAAGCGACGGCAAGCAATTTAGGCTGAGTATGATAAAGCCTCCGTCGCCGCTGCCCATGCCCAAGTACAAGCTCAGGTCGCCGAACCACCTCCTCTCGCTGTTCGCCAGCCTCAGCCGGCGAACCAAGGACAACCGCCAAGGCAAGGCCAAGCTCCCATGACTTAGAGGAAATTCAGAACCGACCGTGCGGGCAAGGTTGTGATGGCTGTCGAAGAAGTTCAAGCCCTCCGCAAGGAGTTCGATGCCCAGCAAGCAAGCAACCATCAGCAGCCCGTTCGCAAGAAGGTCCGAAAAGACCTTTACTGCACCTTCCACAGACGCTATTTGCACACCACAGGGGGCAGCTGTCGAAGCACCTCGCGAAGCCGTTCAAGAACAAGCACCCCCAGCCGAACAGTGCCAAGATGTGCAGCGCAGAGTAATCCAAGTGATTATAAGGGCCGACCTGACGAATCAGCTGTCGAAATGGCAAAAGAAGATGCAGCTCCGAATGGTGCATAACATCACTTTGGCGGGCGAAGGGGCCCCGCAATATCTAAGCCAGCAAATCTCTTTCGGGCCGGAAGATGCCGAAGGAGTAATGTTCCCGCATCAAGACCCTCTGGTGATCTCGGCCGAGTTAGCTGGCTTCGAGGTCCGGCGAATCTTAGTCGACGGAGGGAGTTCGGCCGATGTCATCTTCGCCGGAGGGAGTTCGGCCGATGTCATCTTCTCCGCCGAACTTACTGCCAAGATAACCACGAAACCACGAAACCACGAAGCGAGGCCGGTGCTTGGGGTAAGGGCTAGGGTAGATAACCCCAAGCACCGGCCTCGCTTCGTGGTTTCGGCGGAGAAGCAGTCCAAGTTCTAGGCCAAGCGCAATTGCTGGTAGCTTTTGGCACAGGCGAAAACAGACGCGAAGAGCAAATATTGTTCGACATTGTCGACATCCCGTACAACTACAATGCCATCTTCGGCCGTGCGACCTTGAACAAGTTCGAAGCCATTTCCCACCACAACTATCTCAAACTCAAGATGCCTGGCCCGACAGGAGTGATCGTGGTCAAGGGGCTTCAGCCTTTGGCTGCTTCAAAGGGCGATCTGGCCATAATCAACAGAGCAGTGCATAATGTTGAGGCCAAACCACATGACCGGGCGAAGCACGCGCCAAAGCCCGCCCCTCACAACAAGGTAATCAAGATACAGATTGATGATGCCGATCCCACAAAGCTTGTATCGCTGGGGGGCGACATAGGCGAAGAAGAGGTTGAGAACATCCTAGAGGTGATCAAGAAAAACATTGATATCTTCGCCTGGGGCCCTGATGAGATGGGAGGTGTTTCGACAGATCTCATCATGCATCACCCGACAGTCAAGCCGGATACCAAGCCAAGGAACAGAAGCTACGCAAGATGTCAGTTGATCACCAAGAAGCAGCAAAAGCCGAAGTCCAAAAGTTGCTCAAGGCTAGGGTCATTCAAGAGATCGACCACCCTGAATGGCTGGCGAATCCGGTAATGGTGCGGAAATCAAACGGCAAATGGCGCATGTGTGTTGATTTCACAGACCTAAACAAGGCATGTCCGAAGGATGATTTCCCCTTGCCACAGATCGACCAACTCGTGGACTCGACAGCTGGCTGCGAACTCATGAGCTTTTTGGATGCGTACTCCGGCTACCACCAGATCCACATGAACCCGGCCGACATCCCCAAGACAGCCTTCATCACACCATTCGGCACCTTTTGCCACCTCAGGATGCCTTTCGGCCTGAGGAATGCCGGGGCAACCTTCACCAGGTTGGTGTACAAGGTCCTTTACAAGCAGTTGGGGCGAAATGTGGAAGCTTATGTCGACGAAATCGTTGTAAAAAGCCGCAAGGCTTTCGACCATGCGTCCTACCTGCAGGAGACCATCGACAACTTACGCGCGGTGGGTATGAAACTAAATCCTGAGAAGTGTGTTTTTGGTGTTCGCGCGGGCAAGTTGTTGGGTTTCCTTGTTTTTGAAAGGGGTATCGAGGAGAACCCCGAGAAAATCGATGCCATTCAGCAAATGAAGCCCCCGTCGAGCGTACGCGAAGTACAAAAGCTCGCAGGCCGAATTGCGGCACTCAGTCGATTCCTCTCAAAGGCAGCCGAAAGAGGTTTGCCCTTCTTCAAAACCCTCC